AAGTTAGGTTGATCAGCGCATATCAGGGCCGAGGCGTGGTCAGAACGCCGACTCTGGTTGAAAACGGGGGAGGGCTTGCAAGGCAAGTTGGTAGCGCACAAGAAGATGCAGACATACAAAAGGTGCAGCTACTCGAATCCACAAGTCACCAGAATGCAGAATAGAAGCCAGAACCCTACTAGATTTCGTTTCACGACCAACCAAGGCAAGTATGGTACCTATGATTCCTTCACTTGGAGTCACGCAAAGCCATCACGAACCGTCGCACAGCAGGGGACATCTGCAAACACCGCCAGTCAGAGGGTAAAAGGAGGGACCCCTAATAAGGACCCCTAGGTATATACCCATAATATAGCCATTATATGCCCATTATAGGGTAGGGGTCCCCATTAAGGGTCCCTCCTTTGCCCCTTTGAGCCAGCGCTGCAAGCCTGCATGAACCCACCTTGACCTGGCGGTTGCCGCCTGCTGAATACAACGATGAGGCGCCAGAGCCCTAAGCCCTAAACCCCTGAACCCCTGAACCCCTAAACCCCTAAACCCCTAAACCCCTAAACCCCTAAACCCCTAAACCCCTAAACCCCTAAACCCCAACCCTAAACCCCTAAACCCCTAAACCCCTGAACCCCTGAACCCCTAAACCCCTAAACCCCTAAAGCCTAAACCCTAAAGCACCAGACCCCCAGAGGCCTGGAGGCCCCACCACTTGGACTCGAGGTTGGCCTTCTTCACCTGCAGATTTCTGAAACCAGGCATGCGAAAGGTTTTTCGGGCTGATATAAGGGTCCGTATAAGGCAATAGTACAAAAACCCTAGGGATTTGAGCTTTGCTAGTGTATGCGGTTTAGTTTGGACTTAAGTTCAAATCCATCCAGGATCCTATGTGCTTACTAGCTGGCCCTGTCAGCGGCCTTCTACTATTCCTTGATCGCCGGTACAAGAGCTGTAGGAGCTGGCTTCTGGTTTGGAGTTTGAGACTCAGGTCGTACCCTCTGGATTTCAGAGTTAGGCGGGCCACCTGAGCCAATGTTTGGGCTTAGGGTTTGCTGCGGACTTCTTGGCTTGCACCGGGCTGCTTCAGGCATAAAGCCCTGCAGCCTGATCTTGACATCCGACACTCTACACATCCCTACACCCTGAACCAAAAACCTAAATCCTAAACCCTGAACCCTAAACCCTAAACCCCTAAACCCACAACCAAAGAAACAAGGAGGCCTGCGTGGTGGTCGGAACCAGCTTCAGGGGCTTCTCCTAACCAAGGGCTTCCGATTCAGATTGCAAGGTCAGAGCTCGGTGTCATCATTGCTTGGCGATCAGGATTCAGGGTTTGTAGAGTTTGGGTCTTGATTCTGGGGCTTAGGTTTCACGGCGGTTCATCTGGGACCGTTAGGGTTATACAGGTTCTCTGTGCGATCGTTTTTGAAGACTGCCATGGTTGCCCACGGCTCTGCAGGCTTCAAGCTTGTCAGCGGGCTTGAGATGGCGAATGTGTGCGGCGAGACTCGGGTTTAAGCTCCATTGCACTTACTTGTCTTGCTGCATGTGCTCTGCCTTCTTGGCAGAGACCTTCTACTGCAAGTCCGCTCATTCGAAGGCAAAGGAAACGACAGCCCTAACCCTAAACTCGAGACCCTGCTGGTAAGCCCTGTAAATTCTGCTTCACAAACGCTCGAAGCCAGAGTTTCTCTGAAACCCTCAACGTGCCGAAGCCGTGTAGACCTTGCTGGCTGGCGTAGGGCCTACCCATGCATCAATCGCAGGCGGGGTTGGCATTTCTTCAAGGCCTCTGAGGAAGTACAGTAGCTACAAGCCGAAATAACCTCGAAGGCCATTTCCTCAAACCCCAAAGGACTAACGCTGAACCGTGAATGCTTCCAAAGTGGAGTTCACTCCTCAATCCTGTTCCCCTGTAAAGTCCTATCCTATGACACCCAATCAAGTCGCTTGAATTCCAGAGCCAAAAGTCAAAGGGTAAACGGAGGGACCTTTAATAAGGACCAGGTATATACCCTTAATATAGCTATCAAAAACCCATTATATAGCCCATTATAGGGCAGGGGTCCTTATCAAGGGTCCCTCCTTTTCCCCTTTGAAAAGGATACCTTGAGCCGATAAGAGGGTGTCCTGGCCGCCGCCCCTGGAGCCACCCTGGCCCATGGCGGCGATAGCACAGGGCCGCAAGAGGCGGACACGTGAGTCAAGAGGCTCGCAAGTTCGAGTCTGAGCTTGGGGTTGAAGGTAGACTATACACTTAAAACCAAACTAGATACCTGAACATCCCTCCACCCGACTCGCGTGCTCTACCACTTCCGTGACGTGAGTAGTAGACTGCACAAGGCGCAGGGTCTCGAAAGACGGGATCCCGACTATGACTACGGGTGAAAATCCGGAACAAGCCTCTGCACTGTGCAGGAGTGCATGACACTTCCTGTGACGCGATTTTGACCTGGTCGGCCGAAGCTGCAGGATGTGGGAGGCGCTGCGCAAACGTAGCTACAAGTGGATCCGACATCGAACACCTAACCCGCACATCCGCTACGGCCGCAAACTCTAATGCCCTCAACATCCCAAATCCTTCGAGCCCTCAACTCCTGAAGCACTCCCAAACCAAAAGAGCCCAAAGCCACACACACACACACAAAGACTGTGAGCGAGGCCTTACTCACACACAACAAGACGTAAACCCGTCGACTATACATACCCAACACCCAGCCCCCGCAATCCCTGAATTCGCCGGCATCCCTAAACCCCGGCAAGACCCGAGCAACCGTGCGTTGTGCAGCACATTTTGAGCTCTTGCAGACAAGGCTTGGCCTGGACGGCAAGGTGGGCGCATTAGCAGAGGAAAGGTTGGAAGTGGGGCAGCGCAGGTCCAGCTTCCGGGTTGAGGGGTATCAGGTTTACCGTTTACAGCTTATGGCTTCGGAATTTGGGGTTTTGGGGCTGTCGAGAGCTTCGAGCTTAGGGGTTTGCGGGAGCTCTCGGATTTGCATCTTCGCCACCCTCAGCTTCCCAAACTTCCCGCTTGAATCCTACAGCCCTGTCGATCGAGACGACAAGGATCCATCTGCAACGACGGCACCCTAGCTACCAGGACCTCCAAGTACCTTTTAGCAGAGCCCTCGCTTGCAAGGATTGTAGTTGGTTTTAGGGTAAAGCCGGTTAGTTTTGGAGTTTAATAGGGTTCCCGGCTACTGTCAGGCAGGACTAAGCGGCACTAAAATTTGCATGTTAAAGTCACTAAAGAAAGGGGCAACCCTACACCTCAGACCAATTTAGAACCCAAAAAGGAACTCGCTGAGACCCAGTCGAAGACTTAAACCATCTGTTTCGCAGGGCATTGAGTCTACACGGTGCAACTTCTCGACCCGGAAATAGTATAGGTAATTAAGCTATTCAGGCCCCTATAGTAAGGGGAAGAGGCTTCGGGTCTCTCTCGGCCTCTGGGTCTGACGAAACGTCTAGTGCTTGCGGCTGCGGGATGTAAGGTTGAATGGTTTTACAAAGAGATGTGGCGCTTGAGGTTTGGCTTTGTGGCTTCGGGATTTTAGGGTTTTCAGATTTGCATGTAAGGTGTAGGCCCAGAAGGGACCCGGGTGGGAGAAGACACGAGACACATGCCATCGTCGCAGGACATGCAAATAAAGACGGGTGGTTGTCAAAATTCGGGTCCCTTGTTGGGTCCTCATTATAATACGGCACCTAATATTTAGGGTACCCAAAAAGGGACCATAATTTTGACAACTACCCAGATGGTTGTGCCACTGCACGACATGCAAAGGTCTGCTCAGCCACCAGCGCCGAGGTCTTGAAAAACAGCTCTGGGTGGGGGGGTTGGCAGCTGCCAGGGCGGTTGTGCTTGGAAAAGGGAGCAAGCAGCTTCGTGAAGCTACACTGCCTTCATGAGGGGAACACGAAGAAGGCATTTGTCAAGTTTCACTATGGCTCCTGCTGCCAAAGCCACCTCGAGCTGCCCGTGACAGTTCGTCAGACTATGTCCACTGACGTGTAAAGTGCTTTGGCTCCGGTGATGGTAGAAACTGTACATTTGGAGATTTTCGGGTTGCAGCGGTTGACGGTTTCCGGTACAGGGTTTAGTGCTCCATACATTGGAGGGCATTCAGCAGTTTTAGAGGGCCCGTACTGGCAATAGCTCAGCCCACTCTTCAAGTTCTTGAACTTCAGGTAAGCTGGTCGCGTTGGGAAGTCCGTAGGAGGGAAGAGCTGGTTCTCGCACGTTCCCATGCTGGTCGCAACTTCGAGGCCTAAAGGCGACAAAACAAACCAGCCTGGAACGCAAGGACGAAAGATATTGTGCTGGCCCAGAAGGCACGCAGGTGCGGATTTTGCTGCACGGTGCCGCAAACCCTCAATAGCGGCAACTCCGTGGCCTTCTTGCTGGAATCCACTGCCAACTTGTACTCCATGGTTCTACAAAGCAGGATGACACTCTCTATCCTCGCCGTCTCACTGTCACTGCTCCTCCTGAGGCCGCCAGTTTAGAAACGTCAACAGCTAGTCGGAATGACACTAACAACGCTGCGAATCTGAGCATGATCGGGAGCCTCAGTGATGCGAGTATAAGGCATATTCCAGTGGAAACCAGCGCCTGAATAAGTACACTTGGGGTTTACCGCTTGTTTTTGTAACATAACAAGCACCCGCCCCCGCAGACCGTGGTCGAAATATTCAAGCCTGTTCAGGCTTCAATCATGAATGTAAGACTTTGGCACCTGTCGGACGGCAGGGTTGATCAATTCTCAGTGGCAGCCCTCAACCCTCCATGCTGAGCTGAAACCTTCAGCCGCATGTGGGACCTGAAGGATTCCAAAACATCTTCAGCCCGCGAAGTCGTTCAAGATTCAACTCTTATGCTCAAGGTCGTGTCGGGCTTCCGGCGGGTGAGGGGATGGTCCAACAAAACCAGGTCCCATTGTAAGCTACATTACAACTATGCCACCTGTTCAGAGAACTACCCTGTTGGAATTCTTGAGTAAGGCTTACGTTTCGCGGTCCTCCTCCGGCTTGGATGGCATGTCTCGCAACAACGCCCCCATAGTCGGGGAAAGATCCCCATCAAGACCGGCACCTCGCAGCCACAGCCCACAAGCTTCGCGGGTTTTAGGTCTATTTATTGGGATAAGGCTTGTCGGGCTTAGGGCAGTTTTCGGTTGAGGGCTGGTCGGGCTTGGCTTAGGGCGTACAGTATCCAGGGCATAGCATGCAGGCCTGACGGATTCAAATTGACTTGGCATCACTCCACCCGACACCCCCTAACCGGCACAGTCTGATGAGGAGGAAGGGCAATCATTTGCGTTGAACAAACCATCAACCATTCAAAACCTGCTTGAGAAAACCATGCTCAATTCCACCAACGGCTCATGGCGCATGAATCGAAACGTAGATGCTAGGCTCCTGCATCTCACCTGCATCATGCCGTATGGCGTCCCTGAAAGCCCCTACCTTCCGGTCTCGGCGTCAGTTGTACCATTCCAGCTTTAATTACAAGATACGGTCAGCCTACAGGGGTGAGGAGTCTTTGTAAAGGGCTCAAGGCTTGCAAGGGCAAGGGTTTTAGGATTTAGAGGACCGCCACAGCCCCGGCCTTTCACCAGCTTTCTTGCTTCCCGCGTTGCGGCGAGTCTCCTGTAGGCCTCCTCCTGCGTGGAACGGCGAAGACTTTCACTGCACAAAAAATTAGTAAGTATGGTTATAAGTAGAGTTGTAAGTATCCTGAATGGACTTTACCCCAATTATAACCCTGCTGATAACCCTAAAGACCGCCCAACGGCACGGCAACCAGCTTTCAAGGCAACGACAACGGCCTCTGTTAATCATACGTGGCCAGCAAGCACAGGACTTGGTTTCCTGGGCCTTGGCTTTGCGGTCTTCGGGCTTCGCTGAGGCCGTGGCTTCGGCAATCTCCAAGTGAGTTCCCTGAAGCTACTGCTTCTAGAAACAATGGAACGCACGCGTCATGTGTGATAGAACATCTCTTACAAAACAGCCACGATACTGAGCCCAGGCGGGGTGCGGGAGACGCGTGCTTATTGCCAGGCTCAGGATAGTCTAGGGCTTCACAACTTTAAGGGTTTAGCCAGCCCTCCGGACCTGCATGGCCCTGAAACCTGTCACCTTAAAGCTGAGCCGCTAATGAGCACTTCAATGAACGGACGCCCTCTCTTTCCATGCCCGGCACAGCCCGAGATGAGAGCTGAACGGGATGGGTTGGTTTTGCACTCAGGGTTTTGGATTAGAGGCTGACATAAGGTTGTTTGTTTGAGGTTCAGGGCTGGGCACCTCTTAATTAGTTTCAGAGCTCGGGGTTTAGGGCAGTGGGCTAAGAGCCTGAGCCAATCCTGAAGCCCTGAACGCCAGCAAGCATCCTGCCGACGCTGGCGTCGACGAAGCATCACCTGTGCCACAGCAGGAGCTGGTTTCACTTCAGCCTGTGTGGGCCAGTGGTCTCGCACTGATGTAAGAGTGGTTTTAATGTATAGCGTGGCAATAAAAATATTCCCCGAAACAGAATTCCCGGGCGCAAGAGACGTTTGAATTGCGTAGCCAGCATGGCCCAAACGATTGATGTTAGAGCCGGGGTCGTAGTAATGTTAAGGGGTGACAATAAAAATTTTCCGGGCCCGAAATCATCGAAAAAATAGGATCCAGGCTAAGTTGCTATTATTACTTCTATGACTACTATTTCTACTATTTATCACTACTAGTGCTACAATCCCCGGACACGGCCAGACGTTTATTATTACCACCCTGACCCCAAAGCCTGCCCCAAGAGACCCCCGCGCAAAAACAACCTCGGGGGTGGGGGGTGTTAAAACCACACCTAGTTAGCTCGGGATTTAGAAATTTAGGAGTTGCGCGGGTTTCCCAGAGTTCTTTGTGCAGCCCCTACAAAGCCCGTAAGATGGGTTGAAGCATCCTAAACTCAAACCCACTACCCTCTGCCATAACTTGCTACCCCGCTCCTACCCCATGTCCTGGCCCTAAACTCTGCTTAAACCACGAACCCTACATTGCCCTGAACCCTCAACCCACAACCCTAGACACAAGAAGCCCTCCAGCCCACAGCGAATCCTAAAGAAACCTCAAACCTCGAACCCCAAAGCCTCAACGCCACTCTGGCCTTGGTGAACCGTTAAAGGCCTGACGGTTCCCAGATGTGTATGTATGTATATCTATATCTATATACATATACACATACATATACATATACATATACATATACATATACATATACATATACACAAACATATACATATACATATACATATATATATATAGAGAGAGAGAGAGAGAGATATCAATACATACAAAAACCCACAAGACCTGGAGTCTAACGTAGTCTACCTATTGAGGCCCCCATCTTCAACTCCACAAGCCCTGAATAAAATAACAACACAAAAAAGACCCTGAGCGAAAGAAACTATCGACCTGCTCTTGCCGCTCCTCCCAGGACCTTGGCTGCTGGTGTTTGGTGTCTTGGCTTTGGGCGAGGGATTTTGCCTTTTCGTGTCTATGTGTCTCTGTGTCTCTCTGTCTGTCTGTCTGTCTGTCTGTCTGTCTTTGAGTGCGTTGCGTTTAGCGTCTATTCGGTGTCTTTTGTGTTTACGGCTAGCGGTTTAGAGTCGAGGGTTTGCGTTGGTGCGGCAGAGCCCTAGGCTTGGCTTGCAAGCAATGTTTCATGATGAGGTGTCAGGGATGACGCTCTCTATGCAGCCCGAGGCACAAGGTTCGCGCTGAGCTGTTGTGCAGCCACCTGCCCCCAACACCAAAACCACGAGCAAAACGCTTAAATCCACGCATCCGGGACCTACTGAAGATGGTGATGAGCATGGTGTTGATCATGATGGCTGTGGGTGGAGACAGGCTGAGAGTGCGAACCGCAAGATATTAGCAGCTATTTTCTTCCCCAAATGCCTGGACTGCTCCTGCTCGCGGCGCAGCCGCTCCTGTGGCGCCGAGAGGGGGGCGGCAGGATACAACCTCAAACCCAGAGTGACCGCCCAGAACTCGTCAAAAATGCGGGAGGCGCCTCTGGATTGTCGTCTTCCTTTGAAGGTTGGTCTCTGAAGTAAGATGCCTTTCGGGTTCTTATTGTTTTGATGGCGTACTCCTCTGTAAAGACCCTAAACCCTAAGCCTCAACTTGCTAGACCCCTACAGCCTCAAGTTTCATTAGCACACAATAACCTCAAAGTGTTGAACCCTCAACCTTACAGAACACTAACCCCTGGTTTGCCATAAGGCCTCGAGATCAACCTTAATTGTAGAACGCTCAAAACCTGTAAGCTCAAAGGTAACTTTGAAAGCCTAGTTCTCCGGCCTGTTCTTGCTCCCTTTCCTCACGCTGTCGGCGGCGGCCAAGCATCTGCTCGACGGAGATGTTCTCAGAAGTCAGTGGGACTTGCAACTGCATCGTGACGGCTAGGCTTCGGGTCGAGGGTGCGGTTTTGGACTTTGCGATGTATGGGTGTTTCACGTACGGCTTTTCAAGATCTTGGGGCCTCGAGGAATATTATAAGGGTTGAACAGGACCAGGCACTCCACGTAGTGTTCCAGGGTCGTGGGCCCGTACCATCCCATAGCGGTTCACAATCACAAGCAGCAGCACGCCGAAATTTGCACATTCGTTACCTACTTGTAGCACAACAAACCTTGATTGCAAGCTCTTCACAACATGACGTACAACAAGGATTTAAACAACATCTGAACTAAACTCATTAAACCCTAAAACTTGAGCCCTAGCTGAGCTCACAATGCTCACAAAACGACAAACGGACCCAATGCCTTCACGGCAAAAACATGCAACCCCGAATACTTGAACATTAAACATCCCCGATACAATTCTACACCCTCAAGCTTGATTAAGAATTTCCCATCCAACCCGAAACCGGAAAACAAGTCCCGGGGCTGCCACTCCGCCGAGCCTGAGCAGGTCAAAGACCGACGCGTTCGGGTTCAGTTGTTCTTGACTTTTGCGGGTTGCAGGGTTTAGATTTTGAGGTGCTCGGAATATGGGCACAGCCCGTGAAGACAAGAAATCCGACAAAAAAATCTCGGGCTTCAATATCAGAACTGCCCTGCAAAGTCGGGTTCGCAGGGCTTTAGTGAATCCTGAACCCTAAATAAATCAGCTGGACTGGGAACGCAGGCTTTGGGAACGTGGGGGCTATGGGGGTTTACAGATTCGGTCCTTCACGGCTTTTGGAAAGGCTTCTCGAAGACAATCATGGACAATGACATATATATGCAGACTCCCATGTTCATTCAAAAACTTTCGCATGACGCAAGAGCGGGCCAGTCTCTGGCGAGAAATATGGTCATAAGAGAAAGGAAGGCCTTATAAAACAAGCACCGTCTGCCAGATGGGGCTATCATACGGCTATAGGCCAGGTTCAAGGCGACGCCTCCAAAAATTCTATAATAGATCATGCGGAAAGCCTCGCACAAAATGGGAATCGTCTTACCGCTTCGTTTGCCACTGGGTGTATACAATTATACAGTTGTGGTACGGCCTCGCGAACTTCAGTCTCTGTGCTTCTCGTGGTTCCTGAACTCACGGTGTGCCCGTACAGTTTCAACATGAGCGTGTGCGACTTCAAGTTCCTTCTGATGACTATCTTGACCTCGTGCTTCGTACATCCGTTTTCCTCTACACGAGTGCCAAATCCTCAACCGTGACGGGCTTAGGGAAGGTGACGATTTCTCGCGATGACTGGGTATCTGGCATCGGGCCCTGGTAATGTTCTGTAGAAGGGTCGCACACACGTCGCGCACTGAACCCTGGGCCCTGAACCTGAAACTTAGAAATTACGAGCTCAGGGGCCAGGTTTTCGATCGGAATCTTAATGGTCTGAATTGCGTCAACTTTCAGGGAATTCTAGGTACTTGCAATCCTGCAATCCAAGTCAATGTAGCTAAAACTCTACCACCTACCTCGTCGTTCGGTCCTCGGAGCCTGGACTCCTTCATACAACTCTCTATCTATCTTTCTATATATATATATATAAGTGTATATATACATATATTATATATGTGCCTGTCCATCTATCTCTCTACCTATCTATCAAAAGCATAGCATCTGTACCACAATGCCTTGTCTAACTTCTGATATTGTAGAACCTTTACAGGAACCCTGAGAGAAGCCTGTTCTAATGATGCAAATTATCAGTTGTTCGACCCTGCTCGAGATTTGAAGAACCCCGGACTAAGGATTCAGGCCCTAGTATTATGATCAGGTACTTGTATTTTGGAAACCCTTCCCCAAACCCGGCAAAACTTATTCTCGCTACATTAATTATTAAAGCGCTTCAGTGACAAAACACCCCGTCCTAAACCTTCAACAACCCTGCTCAAATCATGAGGGTCCCTGCACTTATAGACAACTTTGATACTGCCTTTAGTTATGAAGGCCTTTGTATTGTAAACCCACCATGATTGAACCCCGAGAGAACCCTCTTGTAACTTCGGGCGGTATCATTCAAGTTTCTCTTGGTCTTCCTGTGTGATATGTGCGAATGAAATAGTCTGGGAGCTCGGACTCCTGAACCCTAACCTGAAACCCTGTACCGGAGCGAGCCGCTCGGTCTGAGATATGGCTCCAAACGGCCAGCGGCCCTTCAACAACTCTTTTGCTTGCCAATACCTGGAGGTGAATGCCGAAATACGGCAACTGGGTCTGCGGGGCCCCCACTGCTCGCAGCTGGATTGTATGGCTGAAATGTCGACAACCTGGCAAGCTTCAATTGACAGGGCTGAGGATTTGAACGGGGTCACCAACGTGTCTTGAAGACACGGGCAAGATACCGCGACCTGCGGCCTGAATTCAATTATTACATGGGCAAATCCCAAACAAACCTGGCGGAGGGAATTTCGGTCATGCTGGAGCAAGTGGAAAGCTGCGACGGGTGGTCTCGACTTCGTTGATTGGGACGTTCGGGATTTGCCTGGTGCGATGGGGAGGTCTGCTGATTAGAATGCAGTGAAAGGGGATGTGGCCTGGGAAGACGACCCAGCATCTTACAGCCGAAACTAAAAGCCAAAAACAAAAATCAAGAGCCTGTACCATGTTGAATACTTCAAAGGACTGACTGATATATATATATATATATACTTGAAGGACGGATATATATATATATATATATATACTGAGGTTATGTGATGGGAGTGAGAGACCCCGATCCGAAGTACCAGGGCAACTTCCATAAAAGAGGACTACTCGGACGAGGTCGGGTATTGAGCGTGGTGGGAAAGCCTCTAACTTCGCCAATAAGAGGAAAGTTCGGGCTCGAAGCTTTGCGGCCTTGTGGTATTCCAGGCCATGGGCCCCTTGTACCTGTGCCGAAACAGGCATCTTCGACCATCTCCGGGCTTTGCTGGCGAGGGACTTGACATCTCCAAACTTTTCGGCTTGGTCGTCAAAGGCCGTGTAGCAGTGATCGACTGCTAGACGGGATGGGCTATAGTTTTTAGTGTGAACACGAACAGCCTTGTGCCGTGCCATGGGCAGTGGCGGCGGGTCACCTCAGCACTTGGGGCTTACAGGTCAGATTGGAGTTTAGTGTTGAACCCTCCAGAAACGATAGCTAGCTTCTCAAATCAGCGACGGCCAGCCATGGAGATGGGTCTTTGAGAGCGCAGAACAAAGCTACGAGAGGATGATGAAGGAAGCCAATGATGACAGCGCTTCAGGCTCCTCTAATACTGTAATTCCATTCTGAACCAAGTAGGATTGAACCTCAAGCCCGAAACCCTATAAGCCCCGGGCCACCCCTCAAACAAAATCATATACTTAGCAGGCAAAGGACGCGTAAAGCCGACGCAGCCCGAAGCCCTCATCGCCAAAACCGAAACTCAGACACTGCTGAACCCCAAGCCACACACACTGACCCGACCGCCCCAATATAATATAGTATAGCAAGGAATCCTGAATCGTCAACCAGCTCTACTACATGGCAATGTAGTACCGCATGTGGTTTTCCTCCAAACTTATAGACTGGATGTACTTTGGGTTAAACTGCGATTTATTCCTGCTCAAAAAGCAGGCCGCAATGGTGACCCTTCCGGGCCCCACGCTGTCCAGCATCCGGCGCGCAGCAATCTTGAGCGCCACACTACCTATGGAAGGGTCCCACTCAATCCTAAATCCGTGAACCCTACACCCTTCTTTGTGTTCTCGGACTCGTGGCCCCACGCCGGACCCAATTCCACAAGTGCAGACAATCCTGCCTCCCGACTGCCGTAATCTTTCGAAAATTGAGGGCCTTATGCCTGCAACCGTATTATGCTTGTATTGACCAGACGACTGGTAACCTTCTTCGCGACGGCTTCAAGATCACAACTTGGCCACCTGTTGACCGGCAAGGAATCCGCAAGACACTTGCAAGGAAACCGTGCCACCCGAATCCCAAAGCCATAGTCCCAAAGAGGCTGCCACATCCCGATCCCAGATGCTGAACCCCTAGAAACCTACACTCCACAAAGACCAAAACCCGGAAAGCTCGAAAGTCCCTCGACCTCCAAAACCTACAACCCTGACCTAAAAATCTCCCAAAACCGTAGGGAGGTAGGGCCACCTACACTCTGTAGCCCCGAATCTCGAACATGAACTGAAACGCCCAAACGTCCGGCTATTGCCCTCCAGCGCTACATACACCCTAAAACCCTCCCAGACCGAAAACTTCACCCCTAAACCCCCTCAACCCTAGACCCTGAACTTTAACGTAACCCTAAACAAGCCCCTAGTTGCCGCCCAGCTTCGCTTGGGGCCCCGCTCCTCGGCAGGACTCCGAAAGGAGGCTTTTGGAGTCTAAGGCTTGGGCTTTAAGGGGTTCGGGGTTTGGGGTTTGAGGCTTTGAGGGTTTGGGGTTTGAGGGTTTGAGGCTTTGAGGGTTTGAGGGTTCAGGGTTTCGGATTAATGGGTCGTAGGCTTCAGGGCTCAGAGGTACTTCAGGCTTTCACTGTGTAGCTGAAAGGCTTTCAGGGTGTAGAAGGCTTTTTGATGGGTTCATGGCCGCATTCGAGCGTGGAGGATTTCGGGACTAGGGGGGGGGCTCACGGCTATGGGAACTTGGCCAATTGTCTTAAGCCTTAGGGCCTTGAGGGCTTAGACGGCGTTTAGGGCTTGGGGTCTGGAGTTGAGGTTTAAGACGGGGTTTGCTGGGCTGAGGCCTGAAACTGTCTGTGAGTAGATACTCGAAAACCCGTAAGACCCCTGTCCAAAAAACACCCAAATCCTAAGCCGCCATCCTCAAACCCAAACCCTGCAAACGCCGGGCTCAGGATCTGCAAACAGCTTCGGGTCCTTGGGCCTACGACCTCCGCCTCAACTTCGGGGCTCCACCCCTTCGGTTCCAGCGAGATAGCCGTTGAAATCCCGAATCCGTGACTCGAAAGCCCAAGCCCAAGCACTAAACTACGGAGCTAAAACGGAAAACCTCACTCACAAACGCCAGACAGAGGAACGCTTCTTATCCTCTGATCTCTGAAAAACCCTAAACCCTAAACCCCTTAGACCCCTAAACCCCTAAACCCCTAAAGGCCCTAAACCCCTAAAGGCCCTGAACCCCTCAACCCGGAAGTCTTAAAGCCGAGGTGCGGCTTTGGCTTTCTTCACCTCCTCGTCGTCCGAGTCGTACTCGGTCGGAAGCTCCACCTTTGGCAGCGGCAGATTCTGTGCTACTTGGGTGGTTGTCAAAATGAGGCTCCCTTTTTGGGTCCCGAATATAGTACGGCACCTAATATTTAGGTTCCCAACGAGGGACCATAATTTTGACAACCACCCATAATGTAGTGGCCTTAATAATCATTAGAATAGGGTTTTGGGGCCCATTATACTCTAATTATGGTCAGGAACCACCAAAATAGTCTTGGTAACTATGGATGCGCCTATAGTAGGGGTTTGCGTTCGGGGAGGAGCTTTAGGGCCTATAGGGCTGAGGGCTTGGAGCTTTGAGGCTTGAGGGTTTAGGAGTTTAGGGCTTTGGGGCTTGTGCTTTTTGGTGCCTGCTTTGGAAGCAGCTGGGCTTTGAAAACTGAGAAGAACCCACGCTTAAACTTAGAATCTCCGAAACCAAGACCAGGGAGCAGGAATGCCACAAAGTTGCGCACAGCGCTCGTTTCTGTGGCTGACATGAGGGCCGGACTTGAGGGCTCTGAGCGCTCTAGCATACCACATGCCCTAAGCGCCACTACCTCCAGCCTCAACCCATCTAGCGTGATTATAAGTCTCGCTGATGTCGTGATTATGGCTGCTCTTCTGACTGTTCTTTCTAGTATTACGACTAAAACCACAGAAGTAGGAGTACCCGGCCTGTCGGAACTAGTAACGTGTTTCAGTGATCCCAACAATTCTTTTTCTCCGCTCAGTTTTCCTCTTCGCCCGCGCGCTCATCGCGCTTGCCCATGGGCAGCACGTTGCCTTGGGCGCTAATGAGGGCCTTTGAGGTGCAGAGGTGTAGGAGCCTAGGTTCAGATGTGTAGGGGAGTTCTGCACTTTCGGGTCTCTAACGGCTTTGAAAACAGCCCGCGCATCCTGACGCGCAGGCAACCAAAGCCGAATGCTTGCCTAATTACTATACCTTAACCCCACGTAACCCACCTTTTTGCGGACTTATATGAAGAAATCATATTAAGGAACCCTAAAAAAGGTAGGTTCCTTAGGGTCCAGGTAGTAATGATTGCATTCTTTTGGGTTCCCTGATAATCCCTTCCCCCATTTATTAAAGGGACCCCTAATTATAAAAACACTTTTCCCCCGATCCACCCGGAAGTAGCACCGCCCTTTAAACCCTAATTTGAATTAGGGGGAAGGTTTAGGGTCTATAGATTGAGGGTTTAGGGGGAAGAATTATAATTGCATGACTCAGCAACTGCTCAATTGAGCCGCATGAAAAGCTTTATTAGCCAAGCCTTTATTGAAGCCTATTTTTTTAATGCGTATTTACGGATTTAGTGTGTATTTGCACGGATTTGTGTGTTTGCACGGATTTAGTGTGTATTTGCACGGATTCAGTGTGTATTTGCACGGATTTAGTATGTATTTGCACGGATTCACGGATTTAGATGTATTTGCACGGATTCCGTGTGTATTTGCACGGATTTGGTGTGTATTTGCACTCACGTCCTGTGTAGTTGCACGAATTTAGTGTGTATTTGCATGGATTTGCACGGATCGTGAGTATTTGCACGCAGTATTTGGTGTCTAATTACAGGGATGTAGTGTGTGTATTTGCACAGATTCCGTGTGTATTTGCACGCATTTACTGTGTGCCTGGTGTGTAGTTAGAGGGATTTAGTGTGTGTGTGTCTTTACACGGATTTAGTGTGTGTTTGCATGGATTCGGCGTGTATTTGCACGGATTCACTGTGTATTTGCATGGATTTGGTGTGTATTTGCACGCATTTCGTGTGTATTAGCACGAACTTGGTGTGCATGTGCACAAACCCACCAGAACCCACCCATTCCCACTTTCCCATGCCCCTTTGCCCAAACGCCATTGGCGCCGATGCTGCGGATGTTCTACTCCTGCTATTGACAATACCACTACTACTCCTGCTCCTGCTGCCGCTGCGATTGCTGCTAATTACTGCTGCGACTGCTACCACTGCTACCACTACTACTACTACTACTACTACTACTACTACTACTACTACTACTACTACTACAACTGCTATTTCTCCGACTACTACTACTACTACTACTACTACTGCTGCTGCTGCTGCTACGTAATCGTCATCATCATTTTCATCGTCATCATTTTCATCATTTAATTACTTGTAGAACCTGTGTTTCTGGCAGTTGAGATAACAAGGGTCCCCTAATTATAAAAACATTCTCGAGTTTTTATTTAGGGCGAAGGGGGGGGGGGGCCCCGACCCTTTAATATTAGGGGGAAGGGATTACTTGCATAGGTTGAAGCCCCAAAACCTCAGTCTGTCCGGCACCGTACGCAAAACCGATATCGTGCAGCTCTACACTCTTGCTATTAAGGGTGTGGGGGGGGTGATGGTGGTAAACCGAAACCTTACGGCTCACAGCTTCTTCTCCGAAGGCACTGAGATCCGGTTTGGGCATAGCTGGTGCCGTCGCGCCATCCTGCCCCGGAGATAAGGGAAAATCTAGGGACTCTTCAACGTTTTCGTCAAGTGTCCCATCAGTGTTTGTTCCATAGCGATTTCAGGATTTCGGGTTTAGGGGCTTAGGGTCCAGGGATTCAGTTCGATGAAGGTTTGAGTGTTGCATACAGAGGAAGATTAGGCCTCTGCACGCCACGTACTTTCAACTCCCCCAAGCCCGAAACCCCAAAATCCCTACATCCTATGTGATCTCACGAAGGCATCTAACGCTACAGCTCCACGATCTTGTAGGTAGAACCAGTGTAAACTTGTGAAGATCCTGTCACTGGCGGTTGTCCTGAAGCTCAAACTTCGTGGGCTCGGACCAGCCCTGATCCTCCTGATGAGCTCTGGGGGATTGATGAAGGCTTGGTCATGTTTGGGGCTTAGAGGATTGGGGTGCCGTGGTTTCGGGGATAGCAGTTAGAAAAGTTGCTTTTCTGAAATGGACGGGTTTGGCAATTGGCCGGAGTTTGGGCTTGCTTTCGTTTCAACCGGCAGTTTTTTGCGGCGGGGCATATGGGCGATATTGCAGGCTGTGGGCCTCTTGAATCTTACAAAAGTCGAGGCCAAGGCCGCGCCAAGACGGAAGGTGAAGTTAGCGAAGCCTTACGCCCCTCAACGGTTGACCATTTGGGGTTCTACAGTTACACCATGCTATACATTGAGCAGTAGCTCGTCATCGCCGGAAATGCCGAAACGGATGCCCCCACACCCCTCGAAACCTGAAAAGGAATGAGGTTACGTTGTGTGGCCCTCTCCTGAAACTAAACTTTTCAATCATAGAACCCTGAAGCCCTTTGAACCCTTATACCCGTAAACCCTAACCCATAACCGCTACAGAAAAGTCCTCATCTGCCATCCGAATCTGAGTCTCCAAATACGGCTTCTCACCTCGGTTTGCAGAAAAACGCACCTTTTGGGGCTTTAGGTGAGGGTTTGGGTTTGGGATTTAGGGCTGTGGGGTACGGACAGAGGCTTTCACTCTTCGAAGATGAGGCCCACAGGGCCAGTTCACGACCACCAGCTTCATGGGTTTAGGGTTTAGGGTTTTGGGTTTTGGGTTTAGGGTTTAGGGTTTAGGGTCCACCGTTCCTGAAAAGAGCACACTGTGACGATCTTCCTGTGGTCCAAGAAGAGCGCTGCGATGTAAAGGCAAAGCTCGAAGAGGCTGTGTGTCGGAATCCAGTTAAGGGCAACAGTTGTCCAGGGTTGGTTTATTGCCGGGTCGAGGCATTAGGTACGAAACAGAAATTAGGTCGGGGTTCTTAGGTCTTGAGGAAGGGCGTGCCTCTCCGGTTTATGATTGTGGCACGTTCGGGGATCTGTTGGAAGTAGAGAAACATACAACCCCCTACAGAAACCATCGCCATACCCGGATAGAAACACTTGTAGCAATGCAACTATAGTCTACAATAGTACTCAAACGGACCATCAACCTCGCAGGCTTTGAGGATATGTCCTGTGGCTCACAATAACCTCGGGGCCTTCCGGACGAGTCGCCGGAATGGAGAGTGACCTTGATGTCTCCAACAACCTTCGATCGGGCTTTGGGTGGTGGAGTTTGGGGAGGTTCAGGTACTATCACCTTCTACTATCCTGTTTGCAGCATGTTCTTCTTGGTGCCCCCTACTTTTCATCCCTCTACCCCTATCCTGTTTGCAGAATGTGCTTCTTAGTAACGACTGCTAACTCCAATACTAAAACCAATGTCAACCTGAACGCGTACATCTATTGTGAAGAACAGAAACAACACTGCAAACATTGATATTGACTTCAAACGATGGTACACTCGAATATGACATCAACGTTAACATTACAAGAAGAGCTGATAAATGATATCTGAATACTACTTCAAGCTATTCATCCTAATAGGAATGAATGCTAGGTAGTATTCGCACGAGTGAACCAAATGCTACCAAGTAAGAAGGCTGATGTAGGGGGCCTAAATAACTAATTAGAATAGGGTTTTGGCTGATATTCTGTTATACTTACTATGATAAGGACCCCGCCAAAACATTACTGGTACCTATGTAGGCCCCTACATTACCTACTTGTCGGGTACCATGGGGAACTAAAGGTTAACCTTTTTGGTTTTTTAGGGCTTATATGGGGGCTATACTACCCAAAAAAAGGTTAAAGGATACCTACTCTACTGCTAGGATTGACAACTCTGCAGCCCAAAGAAAAGAAGCCAAGGAAGTGCCGCGAGCCTCGGGGGCAGGGCCGAAGGATGGGCCGTACCAGGGGCCCTGTCCCGCCTGGCGTCTGGGAGTCTTACGGATTGGTGGTGTGGGTTTTGGGGCTTAGGTATGTTCATGTAGGGTTTTAGGGTTTGGGGGCTGAGTGATTAGGGGTTTAGGTATGTTCATGTGGGGTTTAGGGTTTGGGGGCTCGGTGATTAGCATCTGAATTTGGGTGGAGGCCATAAGGCTACATTCATGCTCATTACTCCGACCCCTGTAGTCGGGCTTTGGGATTTGGTACGAAGGCGCGGGGCTTATAGCATTAGGCGAGTGTGAGCCAAACCCCTCCAAGGCTTGCGTGCATGGATCTCAGCTGCCCCATGACAATGGCAACAAGCATGAACCCTACACCAAGACACCCGAAACCCGAAAGCCTGAAAACCAAGCCCGAAATCCGTCATCTGGTCCCTGCTATGACGGCACTGCGACTGAGTATGCTTCGAAATAGCCTTCAGCAGCACCAAAGACCCTTGCCACACAGACTCTTCCGCTGCGTCCTGAAGCGAAGGCTGTGATTAAAGACTGCTCCTATGGCACTGTCGGTTTACTGTTGTGCTCTGGCTTCGGTCTGTGGGTTTACCTTAAGAGTGCGACTTGTGTTCGCAGTAGTGGTTACTCCAACAAAAGTTGGAAGGGGCCGCTCTTCTGCCAAGTTAGGGTTTCGGTTGCAAGAAGGACCCCATAAGGCCCAAAACGAGCTTTGGCCACAAGCCTTCGAAACCCTGGAGACTTTTCCTGTCCTGCCTTCAATCCAAGTAACTTGGCTAACAGCAGGCTTGCAACAAGGACGAAAGCATAATCAAAAACAACCCCCACGCATTCGGCCGTGGTACCAGCCAGCCGTGCACCCGCTCGCCATCTCCAACTGGCTCCTTAAGGAAATGCTGTTGAGGTCTAAACCTTGGGTACCGCCCCCACTCAGTAATAGTTGAATATTATTCGTAATATAGATACATTAGGGACCTGAATAGTAGCCCTATTAGACTCTTACTGTATGGGGGCAGTAGGATTGAAAGTTGGAAGCTTAAGGATTTTCAGGCTCGGAGCCTTAGCTTCGGCTTGTCTAAGAGTCGCGAGGACTGGTTGTGCTCTTCCGGAGAGGTACGCTCTTACTTCAACCCACATGCCCCCCCGCAGCATGGGCTCTTCGGGCATGATGGGTTCGAAGACTGCCTAGGTCAAGAAGGACTGTGATCTTGAAAATTCGGAAGTTTGAGGTACGCATTCAAGGATTCGGTGGGGCTTCGAGCACTCGCCGCCGTGCTAATTCCTGATAGCGGTCGTAGCAGGAATGGGAGTGGGAGAGGGGAGGGGGGCAGGAGCAGAAGTAGTACAAGTCGGGGTAGGAGTAGTAAGAGTAGTGGTAATCGTCCTTTCAGTTTATGTCCCGGCTCAAAAAACTAGCCTCTGGCGAACTCGTCTACAGCATGCTACGACCCAGAAAGTCTTGTTTAGATTTTTGAGTTCAAGCTGAACACAAATCTTTCAATCCGTAACATCAACAAAATCAACCCACATCCAAAGTCGCAGTACCGAAAGCTTCAACCGGCAGAACACGATATCGTTTGGCCTTCAACTCCCTTTGCAGGCGGGCAGCAGTGTAGGAAAGTCTGGCTGTCACTGGATCTTTGCCTTGCTTCTAACTTTCATTCATGAACGCCAAACTCTTCCAAGTTTCCTTTTGGCTATGTGGTGGGCTGACGGGTTGATGTGCTGCCCGAATGCATGGAAAGTTCGAGACCTCCCATTCAAGGATTACATCTGTGTATGTGTCTGTACAGTACCTGCCTATAAGGTACTACATCTATGCATGCCTCCTTTCGTCTTACCTTGTGGGATGCCAACCTATGGCATGGGTGTCTGAGAGATGTGGGAGTTTCCGACAATAGGGGACCCTAAAGAAGTACCCTGTTTAGTAGGATCCTTATTATCAGGACCCCAAAAAAAGGCACCCCCCCCAATGTTCAGAAACTCCCGTATGGAAAAGCAGGTCTTGGTTGTGTCTGGCTGTCGCGTTACTTCTTTGGGATGCACACCCGAACATCGAAACCCGACCCACCTGCGGTACTCAAACCGGAACTCCTGCGATAAACCTGCAGTCAATTGAAAACAACTGAAATCCCAAACTCTCGAACCCAAATCCCTGAAGCTGACAGATAAACCATAAGCCCAAACTATAACCTTAAACTCTGAATGCCTAAACACCCAACCCAACCCGACCCAACTAGAAGCCTTAAACTCCCACAGAGCCATCGAAAAGTTCTATTAAACACCCGGACAAGCTCATAACCGTAAGACCATCATCACCCGAACAAAGAGAGACCAGGTGGCCGATAGTACAGGTGCCCTTTTCGGATGCCCAACTCCCATGGAGTTTCTCACCTCAGGGCTGGCGTTCGAGTCTATCCCTTGATGTACAAGGTTTAGGGTATAAGGGGTCTTTCTGAGTTCCGGCGCTTAGGGTAGATTTGTGTCTTTTCAGAGTGCTACATATACTGCTTAGCCATTAGTGCTTGTTTGGGTTTGGAGGCTCAGGTTTTCTGGCTGACTTCGAGTTTGGGCGTTTCGGTTTGGGGAGCTCCGGCTTCCTGAATTTAGTAGAGGGGCCTTGATAAATCCAATAGGGTTTTGGGGCTCATTATACTACAATTATAATAAGGAAGCCGTCTAATAGTATAGTTGATTATTAAGGCCCCTATAGTATGCTCGAGGTTTGCTTTGTGCCTACGGATTTCGGCTTAGGGCTTAAGCTTTCGGCCTCGCGGGTGTGGGCCTCACTATAGTTGCTGGGTTAAGGGCACAGCATCACCCAAAACCCAATCCCTCTCAGGGCTTTGGGGACTAGGGCCTAGGGCCTTTGTGCGTTACTATTGTCGTTTGCCCCAGGGCGAATTTGAAGAGTCGAACTCACGGCCTCTCTAAGTAAGAGAGCTTCTCCGGCCTGGGTCTGCGGCATCCAGCGCCAGGACTTTCGGAAGCTGCTGCCTCAGAAAGCCGTCAGCTTCGAATGCTCTCTAAGTTGGGGGCATAAGGCCAGGGGACATATCACGGTTTTTGACTATACCCAGGAACTCCAAGAAGAATTGTAAATTTTGCCGGCTTCTAATACACTCGCTCCAATGATTCATGCCCTAAACCCTGGCAATGCTCAACTCGAGACCCTGCTGTCCTAAATTCCTGAACCCCCAAGCTCCGGAATCCTAGACTCCTAGACCCAAGACGCCCGTGGCAGAGTCCGAGCCGCACAGCCCGCGTCTCCTTCTCCCCGCTGCTCTCGCCGCTGCCGCGCTTCGTCATCGCCGCTCCGATTGAAGGCGTTGCTCGAGATTTATACAGGATGTCGAAATTCGGGTTCAGGGTTCAGGGCTTAGGACCTAAAGGCTTTAGGATGTGAAGGATTTCAGGAATTGGTGTGTCGGCGGGTCCTGAACTGCTGGGGAATGTACTACATGACATTGCATTATCTGGTGTGACCTGGGTGATCATGGCTCCGCTGCGAAATCGCCTGCACCGGTCATGGCATGCTTGTTCTTGGCATCAAACCACAGCCTCGGGGAGCCCGGCATCACCCAACTCCCAAATTTGTGCAGCTCTTAGAGCTGTTCGTGTTCGGCGCAGTATAGGCCCTGTTACCATGACTGTACGGTTCTTCAGAGCCTCCTAAGCCCCAGAGTAAGCCTCTCGAAACCTTCACCCTGGCACTTAAAGGGACCCGTCCCTGCCTGAGGAGGCGGAGGAGGGAGCCGCTTGGTGGCCGTCGGCTGCTTCAAAAGCGCCGGAGCAGAGGTCGCCTCCGTTTTGCGTGAGATCCCATATGGGAGTTTCCGAAAATAGGGGACCCTAATATAGTACCCTAAAAAGTAGGATCCTCATGAAAAGCACCCCCAAAATAAGGTACCCCCCAATTTCGGAAACTCCCATATACCCTCTTCTTGAGACCGAGACCCACGCCCACTCCCAATTCCTAAATTCCTTCACCCTACTTACACCACCGAAAATTCCAAAGAACAAGACCCCACAACTCGAACGAATACCGTAAGCCCTAGAGCCCTTGATTCCACGTAGATTCCGAAAATAGGGGACCCCAGTATAGTACCCTAAATAGTAGGATCCTGATATATCTTTGTTATAAGGACCCCAAATAAGGTACCCCTAGTTTCGGAAACTCCCAATTACTTGCAGCGGGGAGGCCTTCGTCATCGAAGGCTGAGGGCTGATGAGAGCGTCACCTGCCACCGGCTGCACTGAGTACGTAGGCTTTGGATGTGTATGTGTCTTGTTGTGGTGGGTAGATGCATAAAGGTGTATATACATACATATGAATAAGAGATATATATGTATGTATATATACATTTATTTCTTTATTTATTCATTTATACACACAGGTGTGTAAGGATATGTGTGGTAGGTAATATGTATCATATGTATGTGTGCATATGTCTATATACAGACGGTCGGAGCGAGAGAGAGCGAGAGCGAAACAAAAAAACAAAAAAAGAGAGAGACAGAGAGAGCGAGAGAGAGAAAGAGAGCTAGGCAGCTAGACCGAGACGGAAACCTCAAATTCTTGGAAACCTCAAATTCTTCAAAGAGCCGCTATGAATCGTTAAAGGCTTAAAGGAGCCCTAAGTTCACAAAGCCGGCCTCCCACAGCTGCTGTCGCTTCTTTCTGGCGGTCAGCGTCGCTGGGCATCTTCGGACGTGCTCTGAGCAACCTGCCGCGATTCAGGGTCTCAGGATTTTTAAACTCCTTTAATGTGGCGGCTTGTTTAGTACCATGGGCCTCTTTAATGCGTTTTTTCCGTATTCAAGCCGGGTACCAAAAAAGTGTCCTAAATAATGTTTCGTTTTTTGTCTCCTTCGTGCTGATGGTCAATGTTAAGGCACCCACGACCTAAACCCCCGCCCAAACCCTAAAACCCTGACCCTGAAGCCCGAAACTCGCCCTAAACCCGAAAACCTACGGTACTACTGTACTCTTACTGTACTACTACTGTACTACTGCACACTACCAGGGGTCAGACTTGGTCGATTGTGGAGGGGAAGTGTAGGCTGGAAGGAAAAGTCTTCAAAATAAAGGGGTTTTAGTCTTGGTAGGTACCTTGGAGTGATCGGGGCTTGGTTTCGAGCTTTTGGTGATCCCGACCCCGACCCAGACATCCGCGGAGAACCGCAGACCCCCCACCCAAGCCTCCCCAACCCCCAATTCCCTTCTCGTCATCACTGACACCAGATTAGAGGGGGGGGGGCCTCTATTCAAAGGATGGGGTCTAGGGTTTTGGGGTTTAGGTTTCTGGGCTCTGGGGTTTCGGTTGCAAGGAAACTACTACGTCAATATTGGCATCTGCATGCGCTACCGCTACCGCAGCTGGTGTAAGCATAAAGAAGCGGAGGAGGCTTTACAACGCAGGACACTAAATCCATTCTTGAACTGACAGTACAACATGGCATCTAGAGGCTTAGCGTAAGTTAATAGAAGGCATGTTGCAAGCTACTCCTTCCGTCGAGGCACTGATGGTGATGACCGTGATGTTGATGATGAGGAGGATAGTGAGCATGAGAAGGGCCATTGAGGGCCATTTACGGAATGGAAGCAAAAAAGAATGAAACTCATCTGGAATCTCCACGCCAACAGTGCCCAGATGAAAAAAAAATCCCAATACATGCCGGCACTGCTGCTCCACCTCGCGGAAGGCCTGTAAGGCTCAAAGATTTACGAGACTTGGAAGGTGTTGGGGCAGGTGGGAGATTATTGAAATCATGGCCTCAGGGCACCAAGTAAACCACATATCCCAAACTGAGAAACAAAACTCAAACCTGAGTGCAGCACCCTGAAAAGTAACTCCAAAAAGAGAGCCTCAAACGAACAAGTCAAGGCTGTAAAAATCAAAGGCTCAATCAGAGGCTCCACAATTCCTTCATCATGGAGATTCCTTCGATACGTAGGGAATAATCCGGGATTCTGGTCTCCTATGGCTACTCAATTAAAGACCACAGGTAGAACACATTATGCTGCGCAAGAATCCTTAACCCTAAATCCCTGAATGCATCCCGAGTCGCTGAGACTCCACTTTGCTAAACTCCCCTTCGGCTTACCGCGAAGCATCCCTTCCTGCCTGAATCTCGATTCGACTGCGGTCTATTAAGAAATTCAAACTAAGTTATAGAAGTTATAGAAGTTATAGAAGGAGAGGGAGGGAGAGAGAGAGAGAGAGAGAGAGGAGAGGAAGAGATGAAGAGATGAAGAGATACATACACGGGCAGACAGATAGATAGCTAGACAGCTGGGCAGCTAGATAACTAGATAGCTCGATAGATAGACAGATAGATACATGACCTGGAAATAAGCAATTAAAGCACCCAACAGTCAATTTACTGCCATGCTAGGCTAGACCCAAATGCCTAAATTGTTGGAGGGTCCATTGCCTTTGGGCACCCGAAACCCCGGACCCACGCAAATCCTAAACCTTAAACCCCAAACCGTAAACCCTATAATCAATTCCTAAACCCCGCAACCTACACCCTAAACCCCTAAAACCTCTAAGACCCCCAAAACACCGAAAAACCACCCAAAAAAAAACCTAAAACCCCTAAACCCCTAAAACTTCTAAACTTTGAACCCTTTTAAAACCCCCCAAACCCTCGGGCCGCGAGCCTCGGAGAGCTTTTCCGAGCTCGGGAGCGCCTTGGAAGGGCTCCTGGGAGCCTTGGACGGGCTCCTGGGGCGGCTTAGGGGTTTAGGGTTTAGGGTTTAGGGTTTTTAGGGTTTAGGGTTTAGGGCTTTTGGGGGTTTTAGGGTTTAGGGTTTTAGGGTTTAGGGTTTAGCTTGTCCGGCAAGGGTTTAAAGGGAACTCCAGAAAGTTGGAATATGGTTTCAGGGTAGGATACCTTATAAAAAATACCATAAAGGGCTTAGGATAATCATATTCCAACTTTCTGGCTTTGACTTTGGGGCTTTTGGGGTTTTTAGGGCTTTTAGGGTGTGGGGGTTAGTGTTTAGGGCTGCAAGGGTTCAGGGTTTCAAGTTTAGGGATTAGGGTTTAGGGTTTTTGCATCTGCTCCAAGTAGCTACAAGGCACCTATGCGTTTAGGGCTTTCGTTCTGTCTTTCTGGGCTGGTGCTGCGCGACGATATTTTTCGAAAGGGGCTTGACGGGAATACTAGTGCTGACAGTTAGCTTCGCCTTGAGCATTGATGCCCTGAACCCAAACCAAAAACTCGTAGCCTGCACCCCCAAACGAGCTGCGGAAAGCCCTTGACATGTTCTTGGCATTGTGGCCGCATGCACCATCAGCCTAGAGTAAGCCCACAATACCTCTGCCTTCAAACCGAATCCCGAAGTGCTGAGTGCTACACCCTGAAGACTCTCAAGACGATAAGCCCCAAACCCAAAGCCCGGCACTCCAACCCGAATGCTACCCTGACCCATCCTTCTTAGCGCTCTTCATCACCCCAGCCCCGCCCCAGCGGCTCCGACCAGAGGGCGTCTTGCTCGCCTGCACGGCGCCCTGCGAAGACAGCGGGGGCAGCATTGGGCCTGCAGGGTCACAATCATCGGGCTCACAGGGGTTGATCTCGTGCTGATGGTTTGGGATTTTCGGCTTCGGGACGTTTAGGGTTGTGTTAGAACCTGCGTATTTTGAAGAAGGGTTTGAGGTTTCCCGATTGGCACGATGCAGGGTTTATAAAGGAGCCGCGAGAAGGGTCTCCTTCTCTGTGGCCCGCCTTGGACGTCGTCCCTCTGAGGGAAGCTTCCCCAAAGTGCTTTTTCACCCCGCAACCGACACCCCAAGGCTTGCAAACTCCAGACTCCCCACAACCCGCAAGCCGCAACTGCACCCGCAATCCTTTCCCCTTTGACCGCGTCGTTTCAAGAATCGCCCTGAACCCTTAAACCCCTGAAGCCCCAAACCTCAAAGCCCTAAAAACCGCCAGAGGCCCCCTCGGACCAGTGAGGTCCGATGACCCAACCCCGCCTGCGCCGGCCTTGCCGTTCTCCCCGGAGGCAAACTGGGAAGCCTGGCCCGATTGTCGCACTCGCGCGGGGCCCAGGCTCGCATGAAAACAAAGAGAAGAAGAGCAGAGAAGAGAAGAACAAAAAAGAAGACAGAGAGCGAGTGAGAGTAAGAGCGAGAGCAAGACCAAAACACAGTTGACACACACACACACACACGTTACAACACAGACACACACACACACACACACAAACACACACAATGGCAGCCGAATGTAAGGACCCCCCGAACTTGAACCTCTAACCTCCTGAAACCCTCTAGGTGCAGGGTTTCCGGGTCCTATCGGGACAGTTATGGGCGCGTGAGGGGATGGCTAGAAAGCAGCATGAAGGCGAGAACTATGGTTTCGGGTGGTGTGTCGGCAGAGCTATGCAGTTATACAACAACAAATGCCACTGCTTGTTAAAGCCTCTGGTATGCTACGAGTTCTCACTACTAGTCCTGCTCCGAGAGCATCCATCGCTGGTTGGTCCGCGAGTTCACCGTCCCGCGATAGGCCATGGGCAGCGGTCTCTCGGTCAACGATGCAACATGCTGAAGCTAAACCTGGACCCTAACCGGTGAAGTTTAGGGCTTAGGGTGGCGCACCATCAACTCTACTTTGATAGAACTGCAGGGTGTTCAGGGGGACTCCGTATCATTGGAGTGTGAGCACGAGTTCCATTGGCTTCTGATCTGGGCTGCGCTCAGAGATCTAGCTGGCTTGGTTTATCTGCGGTATAAAAGATCAGGGTCCAGGGCCAAATTCATGCTGGGGCTTTGGTACATTTCAACGGTGTGATTTCTGCTCGCGCCCGGCTACTACGGCTTTGCTTGAATTCGGGCTTCGGCCGACAGCATTGTCTTCTCTCGGCTGCGGTGAGTCTAATGAGAGATGCGGGTTCCCAGCGCCCGTCTTGCGTGAACCTTGAAGTCGTTTTAGTAATGTGGATCTGGGGCTGATCGCATACTCACATCTAGTGAAGCTGAAACCCTGAGGCTTCAAGTTTCAGGTACGGCACGAACCATGTATGATCACATGTTACCCCGATAGCCCATGATTCTATGCTCGTCGAAGGGCGGCAATGCTCTTTGATTCCTTTTCTGTCTATAAATCCATGGCGTAAGGTTGTTACGGGTCTCTAAAGCACAGGGTGAACAGGGGATTGCTGGGGCTCGGGTGGGTAATTGTGAATTAAGGTTAACCTGCTGGGATGTTGCTGGGATCTCCTCAACACGCTTGAAGCTACATATAAACTAACATAATAGAACGAAATATAAGAGAATACAATGTAATATAGTGTCATATACTGTAATATATTGTCATACAATATCATGTAATATAATGTAACATACTATAGTGTATATAATGTAAATAATGGATCTAGAGTTCGGCTGTTTAGGAATCGGTCGTCACGGAGCTTGAACCCCGTCCAGCAGCTCTTTCTCAAAACGCAGCCGCGCAGAGCTCTGGGCCTGTAGGAAAGCTCCCCCCCCCAACTTCGCGGAGCTTCGCTCTGCTCTACGCCCTGCGGAGGATTCGCCTGACTGTCAGCTAAGCACCGGGATCCGTCTGCCATCAGTCTGACGGCAGACTGATCCCGCTGCTCAGCTCCACGCCTTGCTGGAGAGAAGAAGCAAAACCAGTGCCATGAATCATCATGAATCCACCCTATAACATCTCTTTCCAGCGAACTATCAGAATTGGTGGCATCCAGACTCCCAAAAGTTTGCGATTCTGCAAGGACTCGTGTAGCGTGGCCTTTGTAACCGTAGCCCTTCCGCTGCTTGGAGAAACTGAACGGATGCTCACGGCCTGCTGCTGCCCCCCAAAACTCCTATGCTGTCGCCTCGACTTCGGCTCTCGCCCAAAAACCGCTGCTCTCTTCGGCTGCCATGCACTGCCATGGAACCCCCAACGTGGCCTTTTCCAAAGCTCGGCACCTTGGGGGTCGTGCAATTGTCCTGACGAGAATCGAACTCCGAAGACTCCCTGGCTCTCTCTGCATGCCACAAAGGACGTCAAATACGAAGAGTCGCTCTGCAGAAGCTCCAGCGCCAGCACTGTCGCCACGGAGAGGTAGACTGCCCTGTCGCGGTTCTTCTTTGTCAACGCGAGCCCGACTGAACTCAGCCTGCTGCCGTCACGGTGCTCAATCCAGGCTACTGCGGTACAGGTCTCTGAGCGCCAGATTCCTTCCGAGTGGAGCTGCTGCAGGATGTTGCTTTCATACTTGTCGTCCCTTTTGATGTCGTGTTTGTGTTGGCCAACTATGCGCAGCATCTCGTCCAACAGGTTGGATGCGACCTGGCCCATCGCCTCCGACCCCATGCACTAGTCGCACGCAGATGAGGCGAGAGGGCTCGCGAAAGAAATGGAGAAGCGGCTCCTCCGCACCTGGCGCGTTCTGGAGCTGCACCTGAGGTGCTCTTGGCACCGACTGCTCCAGTGGTGGATCTGGCACTGCAGCAGGGCGCGCTGGCAGGGCCCGCAGGCCGTCCTTGTCCAGGTAGGCGCTCTGAAAATGTGAGCACCATGTCGAAGTCATGGCAGTGCTGACACGAACAAATCTTTCCACAGGTCCAGAAAAAAGGACGCATCGTCCCGGCAACGAGTTCTCTGCTGGTGGTACTGCCCAGACGATCTGCTTCCTTGGCGGAGATCCCCGCCAGGATTCTTCAACCAGACAGGGGGCAACAACACTTTCCATACACGCATCCCGGCCTGCGCCGGGTTCCACTCAACTCTGTTCATCTGAGGCTTCCGGCTTTCAGATCTGCGGGCTTGCGCAGTTCTCAAACCTAAAGCCTCGCAGGTCCGCTGAGGAACCATTCACAGATCAGTAGCTGGCTGGCCCGGAGAAGTTCAGCTTGCACCAGACACTGCCAGCATGCAGCCACGTTCGAGGCAGCAAATGCGGAGTGTGCACCAACATGCACTTCTGCCTTCCTGCGTCCGTGCAAACCTCGCCACCGTAGACGCGAAGCCTGCAGTCCGCCACAAACGGCACAAATACCTCCCTGAATACGGACTTGCAACTCTGTCGTCACCCTTCGATCGCGAGAGCTCCTGCCTCCACGACATAGGTTGCACCTAATAAACAGAATCGCAGCTCTCTTGGGGTGCCATGCGCTGCCATCTATTTCCGGCGTGGCCTTTTCGTCACAAGGGGCGAAGTTCGGTAGGGTCAGGTTCTTCCTCCGTGGAGTAGGAAAAATGTCAGTCTTGCTGAGTCTTGCTACTTAGCGCTTCTAAGAGCCCAGCAGTTCGGAGGTGCCAAGATTCAAACCAACAGGCCAAGGCTTTCTGACTTTGTTGGAACCCGGAAGGATGGATGCTGCAGCAAGTGGAGATGCAACAACAACTCCCAAACATGGAATTCGCCGACCTAATGCCAAAATGCGGAACCTACAGTTCAAGGCTTTGCGGACATGCTCGGGTGATTTTCTCCGGCCGGCGCGGGACAACGGCTGCGCTTTTGCGCTGTGGCCCCCCGGAGGGGATCCGGCATATGGATGCAGCTGTCACGGCGCCAGCTACAGAGGCGCTGGGAATGGGGGCCCGTCCTTAAACCCTACAGCCCTAAGCAACCTTCAAGCTCCAGGCCAAAGCCTAGAGCCCGAATTTACGGCCCCCAAACCCAAAAAGAGCCCTAAAGCCTTGACCCTCAAACTCCCTCTGGAGATCAGACCGTCCAGGAGGCGACCTCGAGAAGCCAAGTTCCGTGTTGCAGAGATAGCTGTGCTTTGGGAAAGCATGTGCGCGCAACATGGTCGCGACGATGGCGATGATGATGAGGTGGTGGAGATGATGATGACGATGATGATGATGATGATAATGATGATGATGACGATGATGATGATGATGATGATGAGTAATTATTGTTGAGATTGATGATGTTGTTGATATTGCTGCAATCTGCGACAGTTCGAGTCTGACAGGAAAAGTGTGTGGGATTAAGTTACGGGGTTGGTCACAGATTTGGGCTGTAGGTCGTAGGTTGTCGGAAGTTTGGGCTGCAGATGTACAATCTCGGGTATTGGATTGAGCGTTTCAGGGTCTGGGCTGTTGAATGTCACACGGATTTGGGACACAAGATTGACACAAATCTTGTCCTCAACTCTTAGAACAAGAGGCGCAACCAAGCCCCAAACAGTAACCAAGCGCTTCTCCATTACAGATCATGACAGTATCGGTACGCCCGCCGTGCTTCCGTCAATGAAATGGGGCCTTACAGGTCCTTGGGCTGGCAGAGCCTCCGCCGCGTAGTCACGGTTTAGTCTGGCCCTTCAATTCCCCAAGGTGCCAATCACCCACCCCTAGATACAAACCTTACCCACCTAAAGCCCGAAATCCCAAACCCAAAACCCAAAGCCCTTGAGGCTTTAATTGAGATCCCAATCGCAAACACGCCGAGCTTCCCATGCAAGCGGGCACGCCTCGACGCCCCTTCGGCGGAGGCCTGTCTCCTCTTGGGTTGGCTTCACCTTTCAGCAGAACTTTGAGGTTTCTGTGCGGGTTTGCGGGGGGTTAGGTTTCGAGGGCTTTTGGGGCTCATCGGGTTGCGCTTTTGAGGCTTTTGTTCAGGGCTCTAGATGAAGTTAACGGCTTGAGGGCTGGGACGCAAGCGTTTCAAGCAGAGTTGGTACCAGTAGTGCATTAAGAGATGAGCGTTTAGGGCTGGGAAACTGAACTCACATTCCAGGTCTTGAGGGCCTGTCAGGACGTGACGCTTGGACTGCAACGGCCATCAGTTGCGACTGCAACTCGCTCATCCATGCCGGTCGATATCTGACCGGCACCAGCACATGTTTGATCTCCCAAACATCTCCAGCACAAGCGTGAGGACACAAGAATACCAAGGCTACCAGTCCCAATTAAGGGTTCAGGAGCTTTCCAAAAAAACTTCACTTATGGATCCTCCACAGTACCGCCCCATACTGCAATGAGAAAACATGACCAAAGGCGACTCCGATGCGTGTGTAGAAACCCCGGGTTGCGCTCAAGCCAAAGCCCCGCACCCTAAGAATGTAAGGTCGAGTCTATGCATGCACTTGTAAAACCCGCGAGTAAGCATTCCTTCTTAATCAAGGCTACTTATCGAGGATCAGGATCTTGCTGTCGTTAGTCAACGACTACCGATGCTATTGCCACCGCTATTGCCGTCTTGATCATCATCATACTGTTGGTCTTATGATGGTCACTAATTTAGATGCAGCTAGCACAACTTGTTGACTGGCGTTCTGCGTCCCTACGGACCCCACCTCGCACTTGCAAAGGGGACAGTCGGCCCGTCGGTAAAGCCAGAGATCCTGGGATGAGCGTTGCGGCGCTTCGGAAGGACAAGTTCAGCCCAACTCCCACCTGCAACTCCAAAACTTACGTGTACTTGCTTAGGAGATGTTAAATGGAAACCATAGTAACAAGTCAAGTACGTAGTACTCAACAAGTTAAGCAATGCTCTTCACAGCTCACAGCCGACGCTGCCTGCGCAAACGGCCTAGGACAGGGCTCTACGCCAACTCCTGCACGAAGTGAGCCAAACAATGTCAAGCTGCAATGCAGGAGCGGTGGAAGGTGTGGCCGCAGACGGTAAGTTGCCGGGCCTCATCGTCTGGGACGATCGGGATTGCCGGGGTATGTTCTTACTCTACAACCGTAGCACGGGCGATTCGGGGATGTTACGACTGCTATTTCGGAATTCGTCTCCGAGGTCTCGGTCCTAACCTTGGGGGTTTCGGGTTTGCAGAGTTTGCAACTCGCAGGCTGAGAGAAAATCTAAACTTCGTCTTTCGGTACTCATGCAGGCTAAAGTTCAGGCTCAGGGTTTGTCGTCTACAGCAGGGCAGTGTATTCAGGGCTTAGGCTTTATATGCTTTACATAAGATATCCGGCTTAAGTTCTTGGGTGTAAAGCCATCTGAGAGGGCACCGAGTACTGCTCCAGGTTCCCGGGCGTTCTCACCCGGCTCGATCGCCGTAAGGCAGATGGGGCAGTCCTGTACGATTCTCTCTTGTTGCCTTCGAACTTAGGGCGACTTGGGGGACCTTTGGGCCTTTGGGCCTGTAAGGCTCCGACGGGACGTGAGGCTTTGAAAGTGTGTGGTTGCGGTGGTGATATGTCACATGCATACCGCAGCAACCACACTCTTGAGAAGTCTCGCGCTTGACTCCAAGATCAGGTTATGCGGCCTGCGTCTGTCGCCCGGAGTGGAAGCAGATCATGTCTGTCAAGAGAGCATGTCTGCATAAGTCCCCGCGCGATGCTCTGGCAGATGAGGAAATTGCTCACTCACCAGAAACGCGGTGGTGCACAGAGTGTACACTGCCCAAGGCTGTTCACATTTTAGTACAAGTCCACGTGATGCACCTGTCGCCCGGAGTGGAAGCAGATCATGTCTGTCAAGAGAGAGCATGTCTGCATAAGTCCCCGCGCGATGCTCTGGCAGATGAGGAAATTGCTCACTCACCAGAAATGCGGTGGTGCACAGAGTGTACACTGCCCAAGGCTGTTCACATTTTAGTACAAGGCCACGTGATGCACCTGTCGCCCGGAGTGGAAGCAGATCATGTCTGTCAAGAGAGCATGTCTGCATAAGTCCCCGCGCGATGCTCTGGCAGATGAGGAAATTGCTCACTCACCAGAAATGCGGTGGTGCACAGAGTGTACACTGCCCACGGCTGTTCACATTTTAGTACAAGGCCACGTGATGCGTCTGTCGCCCGGAGTGGAAGCAGATCATGTCTGTCAAGAGAGGATGTCTGCATAAGTCCCCGCGCGATGCTCTGGCAGATGAGGAAATTGCTCACTCACCAGAAACGCGGTGGTGCACAGAGTGTACACTGCCCAAGGCTGTTCACATTTTAGTACAAGGCCACGTGATGCACCTGTCGCCCGGAGTGGAAGCAGATCATGTCTGTCAAGAGAGCATGTCTGCATAAGTCCCCGCGCGATGCTCTGGCAGATGAGGAAATTGCTCACTCACCAGAAACGCGGTGGTGCACAGAGTGTACACTGCCCACGGCTGTTCACATTTTAGTACAAGGCCACGTGATGCGTCTGTCGCCCGGAGTGGAAGCAGATCATGTCTGTCAAGAGAGCATGTCTGCATAAGTCCCCGCGCGATGCTCTGGCAGATGAGGAAATTGCTCACTCACCAGAAACGCGGTGGTGCACAGAGTGTACACTGCCCAAGGCTGTTCACATTTTAGTACAAGGCCACGTGATGCGTCTGTCGCCCGGAGTGGAAGCAGATCATGTCTGTCAAGAGAGCATGTCTGCATATGTCTCCGGGCGATGCTTTGGCAGATGAGGAAACTGCTCACTCACCAGAAACGCGGTGGTGCACAGAGTGTACACTGCCCAAGGCTGTTCACATTTTAGTACAAGGCCACGTGATGCACCTGTCACCCGGAGTGGAAGCAGATCATGTCTGTCAAGAGAGCATGTCTGCATAAGTCCCCGGGCGATGCTCTGGCAGATGAGGAAATTGCTCACTCACCAGAAACGCGGTGGTGCACAGAGTGTACACTGCCCACGGCTGTTCAAATTTTGGTGCAAGGCCAAGTGATGCACATATCGCCCGGAGTGGAAGCAGATCATGTCTGTCAAGAGAGCATGTCTGCATAAGTCCCCGGGCGATGCTTTGGCAGATGAGGAAATTGCTCACTCACCAGAAACGCGGTGGTGCACAGAGTGTACAGTGCCTGCACCAGAATTTCATGCGCATTGCTCAAAGCATCTTAAAATGGGAAAGCTAATCAAACTAATTCTTGCAACCACAACTTGCGTGAAAGGCTGTGGCTCTTTCGCAATCTGCCGTCCAAAGCTTGAATGCCAAATCCTTATCTTCCGCTGCGTCAGCCCTGCACCTTGCAGACTTCTTGCAGCCTCGACGGCAAACCGGAAAAAAAAAAAACTCAAGCCCCGGCGACCTCCATGGGTGTATCCACGACCATCAAGCCGGGCAAGGCCGCGATCTGCAGGCGCCAGGGTGGCTTCGTGACATTGCGCAGGTCAGGGCCCGACTTCCCAGTTCTGGGGCTAGGACTTGGGATTGCTAAACCCTAAACCCTAAATCCTAAATCCTAAACCCTAAACCCTGCAAGAAGGCTTCAGGCTTCTCGGGCCCGCTCCGTAAACGCGCCACTTTCCTGCATCATCCACAACTCCATAGTTTACTGCTTTGCATGTTGCAGGCCTTTGTCCAACAGCGTGTCATCAATCAATAGCAGAAAATCAGGACACTACTTCTAATAGTAAAACGTCACAAAAAACACAAAGATTGCTCATTGTCGGCGTTAGTAAGAATACTTTTCAAACGGACAATGTTAGACACGTTAAGCTTAGAAATAACATGAACCCCTAAACCCTACAAACCCTAAACCCTGCAAATCCTACAAACCCTATAAACCCTATAAACCTTACAAGCCCTATAAACCCTTTAAACCCTATGAACCCTATAAAACCTGTAAACCCTATAAATCCGAAAAACCCTAAGACCCCTACAAACCCTAGAAACCCTATAAACCCTTAAACCCTTAAACCCTTAAACCCTATAAACCCTGTAAGCCCTGTAAGCCCTAAAAGCCCCTAAAAGCCCCTAAAAGCCCCTAAAACGCAAAAAATAAAAAAGACAATAAAAAAACTAAGATCACCCCGCCGCCCGGCCTCGGCGGCCTTGAGGCCTCCCTCGGCCCCCGGGAGCCCCGGGACGGAGGTGTAGCTCTGCAGGCGGCTCACCTCCCAAAACAAGGGCTCGGCTTCGAGTTTTGGGGTTTAGGGGTTTAGGGTTCAAGGGTTAGGGGTTCAGGGTTTAGGGTTTGGGGTTACGAGTTTGGGTTGCCTCCCCAAAAAAGGCCTGGTTTCGAGTTTACAGGAGGGGTTCTGGGTTTAGGGTTCCGGGTTTGGGGGTTTTGGGTTTCGGATTCCGAGTTTTGGGGGTTTGGGGTTTCGGGTTCCGAGTTTGGGGGTTTGGGCCAAGCGCCTCTGCGCCGTGCAGTTATTACGTTGTTTGCACTTGCCGACATCTTCGGCCGAAGGGCTTTTCGCAGTGCCGCTCTTGGAAGTATAGGAGTTTGTCCGTTCTGTGCCTTGCGAGGGTAACTTCTGGCTGCGGCTGGATTTAGGGTTTGCTTATGCAGATGCTCTTTTGCCTCCTGATACGTTTCAGTATCAGAAACTCTCCTCCCAGTAACTGTCCGACATCGGCAGAATGGGCTCGGGCTATCAGCTGCAAGTCTGCAAGGCTTGGGATGCTTCTGCCCAGCACACGGGCAGTGCAGGGAAGGGACAGGCAGTAGGACGACCAGGTACGGAGAGAACGGAGGGCAGGGCCAGGTGGCGGAGGGTCGGTCAGTGGCGGGATTGGGCCTAGGTTTCAGGGTTCAGGAATATTTAGAAAACGCTCTTCTCCATGATTGTGTTGACCTGCTTGTGGCTTGTCACGCCAGCATTGGCGGGGTTTAACTGCAGAGCTTCGCCTGAGTCTGCATGAAGCTTTTCAATCACGGCGAGGAGGCAGGAGTTGCACAGCCCATCGAAGCTTCTTTCTCATGTAGAGTTTGGGCAGTTATATAAAGATTCGGGTGCTACGTTTTCATTCGAAGGTCTGCAGACTACAGTTTCTGCGCACCACCAAGGACAGACAAAGACGGCAGAGCCTTGAAACTGAGAACCATCGCGTTTGGAGTTTGGGTGACGACTTCGAGGTCTAGCTCTGAGGTTCGAAGGTTTCGGGGCAGAAAGCTTCCAAGGGTTCAGTGGCTTGAAGGCTTAGGGTTTAGGGTTTAGGGTCCATATAGGGTTTAAGGTTTAAGGTTTAGGGTTGACGGTGAAGCTTTGAAGTGAAGGGCCAGCTGCTTCGTTGACCCTGGGGTTTCGGTCAATGGGACTCTACGAAAAACCAGCGTCTGCCTCGGTGGTTTTGAGGAGTTGGGTTGGCTTCTCAGCCCTGAATTTCCAGGGGCAGATCTAGGAGGGCACCACTACTCCTCCCGATTCCGTTGCGGTTGCAGTCATTGCGAGGACTCGTCATGGTTTTTCCCCCTGGACCGATGCAGAAGCCATGCACCACCCTCTACATAAGTCATAGGTGGCTGGGTTTACGGCCCCACCCCATACCTGATCCAAAATCCTTTATCCCAATCCATGATGCGGAGCCAGCCTTGCATCCCTGCACAGCATGCGCCCGAGCCTGAATCCTAAACTCCAACAGCCCGGAACCTGGGAATCCCAAAGCCCTCACGTCAAATCCTACCTATACTGAACTTAGAACCCTAGCGAAAAATATAATTTTAGCTGTTTCTTAGGGATTATAATAACCAAAAATTAAAAGTCATTTCTAAGTACCCCTAAGCTACGTCTTCTCAAGGATGCCTGCCCCCAGCGTGAAAGCAGATCCTGGTCCTGCGCCCAAACACTCCAACTTGGGGGTGTTAAAGGTTCAAAGTTGCAGGTTTGGGGATGTCAAGGATAACAAGCAACGTTCCAAACAAAACTTAAACTAGTTCACAAAACTGACTCTGAGGCTTGTACTTTGGGGTCTGCAGTGTAGTGAAAGGTTTAGTTAGGGATCCACGTTGCACAGCAACTTCGGGCAGTCGCTGCAGCCGGACGGCAGCGTCATGATGCAGTCACATGCAGTCACTTCTCCGCTAAGCAACATGGTAACCTAAACCCCTATAACCCTAAGCCCTAAACCCTAAACCCCCTATGAACCCTATAAGCCCTAAACCCCTAACACCCTATAACCCTAAACCCTAAACCATGAACCCCTAAACCCTAAACCCTGTAAATCCTATAAGCCCTAAACCGTCGAAGATGGTCCTCCAGCTGCCTCAGGTCGCCCTCGGCACGCCGGAGCCTTCTCTCGAGGTACCTGCCAGCTTCGTGGCTTCCGGAAGTTTTAGGGTTCAGGGAAGTTTAGGTTTTGTTTTTGAGCTCCTTTATCTCCAGTGCCCCGAAAGGTCTGAGAGGCCAGGACGGGCAGGACAGCTAGGAAGTTTAGGGCTTAGGGTAGAAGCTTTGGGGCTTAGAGACTCTTTTGGCTTTGAAACGTTGTTTCAAGTTTCAGGTTAATGATAGCTTGGTGTCTAGTCTAGTGTTTGAGGGATTCTCTCGGCGGTCTAAGAGGTTTCGGGTTTCAGGTTTATGATAGTTGGGTGGAACTCGGGTTGCGGCGTTTGTGGGTTTCAGGGTCATGTTGGGGTCTCGGGGGCTTTGGTTTCCCACGGTTTGAGGGCTTGGGTTTGGAGCCCGGCCCATGGTGCACTCATACATTTCAGGGCCAGAAAATCTGAGACCCTGACCCCTCGAAAAACCCTCAATGCGCGTGAACGCCACAGCCGAAAGAAAGGTACCTTCCTCACCCCTTAGAAGCCCTCAAACCATCCATCCCCCCCCCCCGCCAAGCATCCACCAAAAGCTGCAAAGAACGCCCGATGCTGCCCAAAGTGGGGCACCAAGCAACGAGGCCCAAGCCACAGTGGACGATGATCCAGAAGTAGCTGAGTGCCTGACGGGGTTGAGTCTTGTTTGCAGAATCTCGGCACAATCATCCATCCATCCATCCTTCCAGCAACCCCTCCGTCCATCCATCCATCCATCAATCAATCCATCCATAAATCCATACATCCGCCCATTCCTGTGTGCATGCGTGCGTGCATTCGTGCACACGCCATGCATACATGCATGCATGAATTGTGGGTGGCAGTGGTGGGGATGGTGGATGGGCTGCTTGTGGTTGTGGTGATGGTGATTTTGGTCTGACTCTTGGCAACGCGACGTAATAATGAACTAGTATTGGCATCGTTCTATTTATTGTCAGTGTTCTCGTGGGAGAACATTATGGTAAAGTCAAGGCCTCTGCCGTAATCCTGAAGCCCGCAAACCCTTGACACGAGCCGCGAGGTCCAGGGACGCCCAGTTTCAGCCTCGAAACACACACTAACTCTAAAGCCCTAGAGTCAGGCCTGCAGAAGCCGAAACACCCCGATGCAGTTAACTCCCAACCCTGCCAAAACCCTAAGAGCCCTCAGCGAGCGCCTGCCAAACGATCAGAAACCTGGGCTTGGAGGCTGGGTCAGGGCACAGGACATCAGGAGCCGGGTTAAAGCGAACCTCCCAAACTCTGAAGCCCCGAGGCCTTGCCCGAGCATGAACCGGGTTCGGGCTTTAGGGCCGTACTGCCAGTGTGCAGACACTCAGTCTCAAACCTCAAACATCCGGATGTACATCACAAACCCCAAACTTCTAAGGCCGAATGAAGCCCTCAAGGAGCATCTCGAGACAAGCCTTCAAGACTCGATAGGTAAGTCTTCCGCAGACTAGGACAAAAATCAAGGCAATCGAGTATGGATCACGATAGCCTGGAACGACCCAACGAACCTTCCCCGCTATCTAGAAGCCTTGGAGGAAAGGTCATAGTATGACATGGCAGGGAGAGGTTCTATGATTGACTGCATGGTAGGGTCCATGTTGGCTATCTTTGGCTCCGGGCACTCGAGCGACTAGCTCTTGTAACAAAGGCACACGGAGCCCTGTTCTTGGAGCAACTTACAGTACCCGATTTAAAGCTGCGCGGCTTCTGGGCGTGGGGGTTGATAGGGTTTTAGGGCTCCAGAGCTTTCGGGCGAGACAAACTTCTAGGTTCGGGGTTTACGGCTGAGGGTTTGAGCTGTTGTCGGCACCGCATTTGTTACTGGCACCACTACTTCAACTTCTCGTTCCTCTGGAACTTAACATTCCAGTAAACACTCAAGCCTAAGCTTTTATCACAAATTGGGTGCGGGCGGCCAGAAGTGAGCGCCACCCGGAAGGCACTCCGGGGTGCAAGTCATCACCTCGTAGACCCACACGGTACCGACCTCGGTCGTCTCTAGAGGTTGGGACGGTTCAAACTTCAGAGGTTCGGGTTTGGGCTCAAGTTTCACATCTACTGAGCACGGAGCTCGTCAACACAGGATGCTTGATTGGCCTCTCTGGATGTTGGATCCTAAGAGCATCTGAGGGGCTTGATGCACTGGCCTCAGAGTCAGTACTAAATGGCATTCTCGCTCCTTCCGGACTTGCCCTGCTTCTTCGGAGTTTGAGGCCCTAAACCCTAAACCCTAAACCCTAAACCCTGAACCCTAAACCCTAAGGTGTTTCGGGTTCGACGCCCCCTTCAGACTCCCAAATCCCCACTCTCGGACCCTCGGAAACCGCTTCCTGAGCTCCCCTGGTCCAAGAAAGGCAAGCCTCGACTTCGAGGGCTATATGGGAGTTTCCGAAAATTAGGGGTACTTTGTTTTGGGGGCCTTATAATAAGGATCCTACTATTTAGGGTACCACACTAGGGTGCCTTATTTTCGGAAACTCCCATATAATCCACCCCCCTCAAGATCCCCCCAAAAGGCTCCTGGTGAACGTCACAAAGACATCGGCAGCTGCAAGGTTTGCACTGGGCTTCCAAAGCTCCCAAGACCCATGGAGGGTCGGTGGAGGCTCTAGAATCTAGACTTCATGGTCTGAAGTTTAGTCCCCGGTGTGCCTCACCGGCTCCTAGAAAATAAAACCCTCAACTCTGAAATCTAAGTCCTGGGGTGACAGACCACGGACCAGATCGTAAAGGCGGGAAGGATGACCTGCCAGTAGCCGCTGCAGGCTTCTTGGGTTCCGCGGGATCCAAAAATAATTCTTTGAGGCTAAAAGTCGAGAATGGTGATGGGATATATCCGAGTCTGAAGGATTGGTATTGCTCATTGCTGCGGCTTCGATTGCCGGGTTGGGCAACTATCAAGAAAGACTTGGAAGACTAAACTTTGTGTAAAGGGCTGCAGCGTGGGAAGCGAGAATGGGTTTTGTGGGCTTGAGCTGGAAAGAGCAGAAGCAGACACATGCAAGCAAGAAGCACCCGGCATTTTGCCTAATCAAAGCTTGCTAAAGGTCTAATTATGCCTGATTTTCTGTCCACAACACCGGCAGGAAAAGGCAGGCCTAGTGGAAGCAATCGGGCGGCTCCTAGAGACTTCTTTCCGCTACCCCTCAATTCTGGCCTTGCTTTGCTGTAAAACAGCAGTCTTCTTGAGGTAGCGCTCAATAGGCTCGTCAGATGCTTCAGCACGATGACGCGACGAGCTACAACCGTCTAAATCCTGTCCTAAATCCTGGAGTCCCTACGAGAGCCGCACCAGCCACATCAGAGACAGCAGCAGCCGCACCACCGTGCTCTTCTGACGCAGGTTCAGCCTTGGAAGGTCGAAAACATGTCCGACAAACCAAGAATGAACCATCCAAAACCTGAAGCCCTAAGCCGACACCCAGGGGTCCGGGAGAGGGAGAAAAAGACTCCTCTGCTCAGACGAGGACACTCACTCAATCAATTATCCCCCCGTTCCAAACCGCACCAACTCCTCAGCCTCAGACCCTTCAAAAGCCCACAAAGAAACAACGAAAGCACAGAGCCAAAGCCTTTGGAGAAGTAGAACCCCCCCCCCCCCCCCCCCCCCGCGGTTCCGACGCCCGAACCGAAGCTCCTTCGAAGCCCAGGTCTGGGTTCCCGCGCATGAACTCGCTTTCGCTCTGCGAGCTCTGGGACCTTAGGGTTCAGAAATGGGGGGGGTTTCCGAAACCCTGTTTGCGGTCCTTGTTATAAGGATCCTACTCCTAAACCCTAAACCCTAAACCCTAACCTGTTTGCGGTCCTTGTTATAAGGATCCTACTATTTAGGGTACCATTTTTCGGGTTCCCCTATGTTCGGAAACTCCCAAATCGGAAGATGAGACTCAGAGTTTCCGGGGGGGGGGTTGGGGATTCTCGGGTGCTAGGATCTAAAGTGTTCAGGTTTATAGGACTCGAGGTTTGGTTGCCAAAGTGTAGGGCTTGGGAGCAGCATCTCGGAACTAGGCTTCAGCAGTTGAGGCTTGGGTGTTCCAGTTTAGATAGTTTCATTTAGGATTTGGGCTCTAGGACTGCAGAGGCTTCGAGGTTCGGGAAGGAGTAGCGGGAACTGCTCGAAACGCCTCATCCCTGGTGAGAGCGCCTTCTTCTGATACTCAGACATACCTCACGGAAGCTGCTAGGCCTAGGACTTCCAGTCCTTGGGAAGCTGATTGGAACATCGTGTCACAGCTAAGCACTCCATCTGCAGCAGTCATGCAGCGACAATAGGTTGAAATGCTACTTTCTGAGGCACCCTAAATTGCAGGCCGCTCCCGGAGCCCAGAACGATTGAAAAGCTGGAAACCAGACAGTCATAGGGCCATGGATTTTTCATCACTGAGCAAGACTTGTGGCTGCACCAGACCCCAGTAATCCCTCGAAGCACCTCCATTCGGTCTCCTCTGGTTAGAGGAGGGCCCTGCGACATGGATAGAGGATACCTGGCTTCACACAGAACGCCTATAACCGAATTACTGCATCGAACGGTGCAGACTTAAGGTTAGAGGGTGAAGACCACGGGTAAAACTAAACCAAACTTCAACAACCCAAAGCCCTAAACCCCCAACCCAACACCCCAGCCTCAAAACCAATGTGCCGGGATCCTGGCATCAAGGCCCCAGAGACATGAACGACCCGGGACATGACAACCAGGCCGTAGCTGAGGAGCAGCCACTGGCGGGCGTGGGGGAGCTTCTTCGGGGCTGGGCCTAGTTTTGACAGGATTGGTTGTTCGGAGGTTCCGAAATTTAGGGGTACCGTATATTGGGGTCCTTATAACAAGGATCCCACTATTAAGGGTGCTTATTAGGGTCCCCTATTTTCGGACAGTCCCAATTAGTACCTGTAGCAAGCATGATGAGAATGACTAGGCTTCAGGCCTTGTGGATGGGCCGCTTGCAGCTGCTGAAGCCCTCCCACTCGTACTGGATGTCCACGCACATGTACATGAGGGACCTGGGTTTAGGGTTTAGGGCTCAGGATCTAGGGTCAAGTGCGCATGCTTAGGATTCAACCCCCAGACGTGAGACCCCACTTGCGATTTCCCTGCTGCACGTAGAAACCTTAAGCCGCAAGGCCTAGTTAGATTCCTACAGTCAGGGGTCTCATTCCGTTTACATACAACTACAGGCATACTAGATGTGCATGCAAACTTCTGTATGCTCGAACGCTTCAGCTGCTGAAACACCTTTCGCGCGCAATGTATGCTGTAAGCCCTGCACTGGAAAGCATTTGGGCCCAAAACTCAGAACCCTAAGCCCCTCGTTAGCACTCAATCTGAGCCCTAAAGCGACCAAATTCGAGAGCCCTAAACCCTAAATCCCAACTTTCAAGCAGTCGCTTTGCTCTGAGGGCGGCGCACGATGAGCAGGCCATCATTCCAACCTACCTCGACTCTTTCCGGCGCTTCGTTCGGCTGTGGGGACTTCGGGCTGTGGAGCCCTAAACCCTGAACCCTAAACCCTTAACCCTTAACCCTAAACCCTAAACCCTCACAACTTTGAAGCTCAAGATGGCTCGAGCCTTCGGCCTTCGCCTTCCTGAAAAAAGCAGACTCAAACACACCGAAACATCTGAACACCCTGTAGAGCCTCTTTGGTCAGGCTTAGGGGCTCAGACCCTGTAGGGGATCTTAGGGCGTGGGGCGAGGGGCATGTTCAGCCTTCATTTCGATAGACAAGGCTCCGTCATTTCCCTGAATGGAAGCAGCTTCAATAAACTTAAACCATGCAGTCTGACACTAACCCGAGTCCTAGGGTCCAAGAAAACCCAAGACCTCAAACCCAAATCCGCCCCAAACACCTGGCTGCTATTGGCACGATCTTGAAAACAAGCGTTGAAATATGATGTACTTTGAACCCTTCAGGTCTAGCAATATCGGGGCCTGAAGAATGGTTGACTCCCGTCCACATAGTGCTGGGAGCTCCATACTTAGTGCTGAGTTCGGGGGTAGGGCAAGGTGTAGAAGGGTCGTCGGCCTGCACATCCAAGTTTGCTACACAACTTCTAGACGCATGTGTTGACCGAACCTCCCTTTTGCTCAGCCGAACCATGGGTGAGCAAGGCTGTCCACAGCAGAGCCTCGCACGCGGTGGTCGCAACAAAGCAGTGGGGCAAGCATCTTGTCCATGCCAGGATATGAATGTTCCACACCTTCGAGCGGCACCTCCTGCAGCGTTGCAAGCCAACGGACAAACGCAACTTCTGCTTCGCGGCCATCCCCCAGGAACCGCAACAGCGGGTGCTCAAGCATCGCGATCTCCAACAACGTCATCCCCAAGGACCACAAATCCAATGCTGCATCAGCAACAGGAGCATTTTGCCCGGTGGCCAAGAACTGCGCCATCTCTGGCGGCACGTATTGCAAAGTGAAGGAAACTGTTTCGTTCTCAATCTCCATCACTGTACCCATGTCCTGAAGCCCATCAACATCGATCAACTTCATGCCAGTCCTGAAAATCATGACATTTTCCGGCTTCAAATCCACGTGGACCAGGTGCCTGGAGTGCAGCCGTGCCACTGCAGATACTGCAGAATGCGCCGTAAACTTAATTTCGTGGGGCGTCAAGAACAAGCCATGTTGACCACAGTAATTTATGCGATCTCGCAGGCTGTATATCGCAAGCTCCGTGACCACAAACATCAAGCCACGGTCGGGGCCTGGAGACCCCGCTTCATCCTTGGAGAAATCCAGCAACAGAGGCCCCACAGCAGGATTATGAGCGTGGAGCATGGCCACTGTCCTATTCAGCTTGACAAGCTGCAAATCCAGGTTCTCCGGGTTGAGCTTATAGATTTTGATGGCAACATCCTCGTCAGTGTTGAGGTTGTGGCCTTTGCAGCAGAAAGACGCATCACCCTCGCCAACACAATGCTGCCAGATAACCCCGAACTTGCCCAGGAGGATCCTGTCGTAAACTGCACCACGCGCTGCACCCAAAGCCTTTGAGCGGTGAGCACGCCATGCTCTCTGCACTTTCACCGCGGCGCGCACCATGATGCGCGCAACAGATTGTAGGCACTCACGGCCTGGGAACCGCGGTACAAGTAGCCAGGGTCTCGGGGTCGGAGCTATGTTCAGAAAGTCAGCACTACTCTTGGGGCACCGCTGTGCCTGCGCCTGCGCATCCTTGTAAAAGTGAGACACCACCAAAGCTGCTGAAAACCCCCGGAAAAGCTCCAAGGTGACAGCAATATCAAGCATGGTTGGCGACCACTCAGACGGACTCAGTAAGCCCTTGCAGAGGGCACTACAGTACCTGCCAAGCTTATACATGTGGTTAACCTTGTGTTGAATCCTTTCCATGTCCGAGAACTATAAGCAATAAGATCTCCTGAAGTCAAGCCTCAGACTTGATCAGATGTTGCAGCGGGCAGTCCATGTTGCAGCATTTTCGCCAACCCGAAGCTATTCAATCAATTGCTTCCATCGTTCATTCAAGGTCTTGAGCTTGTCCGGGTCTTTTTCAGAACAGACATACTAGTACTCCTCTACAGTCCATGCATATTACAAGACTTGTAAGACTAAGCAAGAGCCCCATACTCTGCTCAAAGATTTCGGATGCCTGTAACGACATAGTAGTAAGCCCCCATAGTTCCCACATGGTTATACTCCGTCCGACCCCCAACACGCCTCTTTGAATTACGAAATCCGGCCCCCAAAGAAACCCTCAAAGGATCCCTTGAAAGGAGCGCTGAAATGAGCGCTTGGAGGAACCCTTCTGTAGGAGAGCTGCCTTCGAGTCTGCCATCTTCAATTTCTTTGGAATCCTGCTCAGGGCACGGTTTTGGACGTAGGCTTTAAGACTTCAGGGCTTGTGGGTTGGACTGTTCTCAGCCCGAAACCCTACACCCTAAATCCCTAAACCCTAAACCGGGCCCGAAACTGTTCATAATTTACAATGCTCAAAGTCTCAAGTTTGCACCCCAGGCTTGGGCTCAAAGCTCTCGGGCTTCGGGGTCTAAGGTTCGGCTCGAAAGTCTTGGGCTGATAGCTTTGATATAGATAACGTGTGCATACAAGTCACTGCAGGCATGTCCATCTATCTCATCTGGTCTAGTTTAAGCTAGTCTCATCTAAACTTTCATGGACCTGGCCTATAATCTAACGTCATGTACCCTCATCCAGCCCACCAATCTCTTCTACCTGGTGTACCCTGTCTAACTTACCTAATCTGATCTAGCCTGGACCTATGATTTTGCGGCCCAATCTGGGACCTCCGGCAGCAAATGCTGGAGGTGAAAGGAGAGCCTTGCGAGGAAGCAGTCCGGTTCAGAAGTTTAGGGACCACAGTTTTTGTGCTTCAAGACTCCAGAGTTGTGCTGTGTTCACGGTTTTGGGCAGCTAAGGTTCTGCGTGTAGCTTTTAGGGCATCTTAGGGTTGAAGGATCGGGCGGAAGTATTTAGGATTCCAGCGCGTATGCAATACAGACCTTAAAGCCAAGGTTTAGGGATTCAAGTTCTGTACGCTTTAGGAGCAAGAACTTACTCCGCTTCATTGCATCTGGGTGAGGGCTTAGACTCTTAGACTTCCGCGGTGAGATCCTACGGGGTCCCACCATATCATAAAGGCACGAACGCGGAAGCTCAAAACTCTTGGCCAAAACGAAGATACTGAACTCAACGTCGAGTACTCGCAACAGCAAGTGTGATCACCCCCAACCCCAAATACTAGACCATAGGCTACTGAAAAGCCTGACCCGCATCAAGAATCAAGGCCAGGCCAAGCGCCCTAAACCTCGAACTGTGACCCTGGAGCCCTCAAGCAGCCCTAAACTTACCTTTGGTTCGTAGGGAATGGAGGAATGGGGTACAATTATAACTACTATTTACTACCATTCTTCCATTCCCTACTAACCAACGGTAAGTAAAAAACGACACCCCCCGAACCCCAGAAGATGAAAACCAAAGCACCGAGATCCCGACTGGGGTTCGGCTTTTAGAGAACGCAAGCAGCAGGGGTGACGCTTGCGAGAGACGGAAGGGGTAGAACTTGGGACTCACACGGCGGCGGAAGCATGAGAGTACCGGGGGACTTTAGGCCGTGTCAGATGTCTTTCGGGTTTAGGATTCACAGAATCGGAACGGTCAGGCACAGCCGCATAGCCTTTTGCCGTACACTCTAATACAAGCATGTGGCAGGCGCCACTGTTATACTTTAAATCAACAAAAGCTGGCTCACACATAGTCCTATGCAACCATAGAAATTGTGCTCTGGACCAAGGCTGGGGACTTAAGCTACAATCCCTGATGGTCCTGCTGGCGAAAGGAGGCTCCGAGTGACAACAGGTTTCCCCTTCCTGCTCGGGACTGCAGTGTTTTTCGTTGTCCGATATATGGATGCCTGAACATGAAACTTAACTGAGGCATTTTTACGTATATATGCCAAGCAACTGAAGCTCCAAACCCTTAATCCCCAAACGAACAAAGCCTAAAGGCCCTCAATCCGATAAAGCCCGAAGAACGGCGACCCGAGCCGCGCATTGCATATAGGATCTTTAGAACACTTCTGACCTGTTTTGCTCATCTCCCCTTGTCGCACGAATGTCTCGCCATCTGTAGAGCTGCGATGGGAGGGGCGCCCCGCCTGAAGCCCTGTAGTGGCTGAACAGTCTACAGTCGAGGGGCCTTAGGGCAGAGGGTTCCGGGCTTACTGGTTTAAGGCTGTAGGCTAGAGGCTTTCGGGTTTGGGATGCTGGGAGTTAGGCTGGACTGCTGGTGGCAGAGTGAGCTGATCTGGGTTGGAGAAACTGATAAGCATCTGGAATCTGGGGCGTCCAGCCTTGTTCCTTTACGAGGCCACCGTATCTTGTATCCTTGGCTCTGGCCGCATCTTTGAGATTAAGGGGGTTTGGGCTTACTGGATGCTCCAGGAGTCCAAGCTCGACGCCGTAAGCCCTGAACGACGGCTCTCACTAACTTGACCGAGGGGAGGGGCGCCGTCTTCCTGCAAACTCTCCTTTCGCGCGATGGCTACCCCATGGGTTTCGGGCCGGGAGGGGGCCTGGAGAAGCTAGCGTTGAAGTGAAATAGAGGCTTGAGGCTTCGGGGTTTAAGTGTTGGCACTTGCCGGCTTCGGGGTTTCCGAGATCAGGGCTCAAAGATAGGGCTGGGAGGTTTGTTTAAGCTCTGTAGGAAGGTGGATGTGGGAGTTTGGACTGCAGTGGGCTCTCGGCGCTCTCAGAAGCAGCGCTCAAGCAGCGCCCACCTCCGCGAGACGGTTGGGCAACATGGCAGGCCTTAACCCCAAACTCTGCTGCTGGAACTGCACCCACCGGCCCCTATCACGCAGAGGCACATGGTTGCTCAAGAGGCGTCGCTATCTGCAGCTTTCCTGTCGGTGTCAGCGTGTGTCAGCCGTCATGACATGTCAGCTGCGCATCGGCAGCTTAATAATTCGCTGGCGGAGCTGTGGCCAGCCTAGGCAAAAGTGAGGCGGAGGCCGTTGAGACTGTACAGACCAAACCCCCGGCTTTACATGTTGGATCTAAGATCTATGACCATGCGGATCCCCTGAAGCTTTACACAGGGGGCAAAGTCTTAAGAGCGCAGCCCGTGCAGCCAGACGAGTACTGCCACGAAGAAGATGGGACATACTCACACCAACCTGCGCATCCAGCAGGTGCTGCTGGAGCCGCTGGGGCCGGGACTGCGGGAGAACCTGCCGGCTGAACTCCGTGAGAGCACCCACGGCACTGAGGCGTAGACTGTTGCGACGGCCCTGGCATGTACTGGCACCAGCTGGCACACTCGGCCACGGGGCTCGCGGGGCTCGCGGGGCTCGCGGGGATTGCGGGGCTCGCGGGGCTCGGGCTGAGGTGACCGTCGGGCCGGTGGTTGGTCGAGGCTCCACCGGAGCAGCCGAGGCAATCCGTAGTGGAGTGCCAGGACATGTGGGGCACCCACCTGCACCAGTTTACGCAGGTGCCGTTCTGGTTCTGGGGCTTCGGCTTCACGGTGCCTTCGGGCTTCACGGAAGGGACTCTGCCGGAGCAGAGGCCGCAGTCGGGGGTGTACTGCCAGGAAGCCTTAGGGACCCACTGGCACCATCCGGCACAGCTTCCGTTGCTCCCGCTCTGTGGCAAAAAGGGTCCATCCAGTTCTTGCCCAAAGCAGCCTTGACAGCCAAGAGAGTGGTTCCATGAAGCAGTGGGGACCCACTGACACCAGTCCACACAAGATGTATTCGTTGCATTGCTCTCGTTCATCGGTGCTGCAGGGCCCACCGGCAGAGGGGAAGAGACATTTCCAGAACAGCTGTGACAGTCTGGAGTGGTCTGCCAGGAGGCACGAGGCACCCACCTGCAATGCTTCGCACAGCTGATGTTGGCCAGTGCAGGACCGACAGGTTTGGGACCCACGGGTACTCCGACTCCCGAGCAGCCACGGCATTCAGGAGTGTACTTCCGCGAAGCCTTTGGCACCCACTGGCACCAACCCAGGCAAGTCTCATTCCCGACAGTCTCCGTGACTCCCTCCTCCGAGAGAGTTGAGCAGTTTCGACAGTTCAGGGTCTGGTTCCAGGAAGGCGCTGGGACCCACTGGCACCAGCTCATGCAGCTTGTGTTTCCAGTCTGGGCGGGTGTGGGGATGGGTCGGGGACCCGCAGAGCAGCCATGGCATTCGGGGGTCGCCTGCCAGGAGGGAGCCGGCACCCAAGTGCACCAGCTCGCACAGCTCCCGGCGTGAGTTGTCTCGCCCGGCGTGGCAGCGGGCCCTTGCATGGCACAGCCGTGGCAATCGGGGGTGTACTGCCACGAAGGGCTCGGGACATAGGCGCACCAATGGTCACATTTCCCATTGGGGTTGGGTGCTGAGACTGGTGCAGCTGGTGCATGGGTGGGTGGCGCGGGCCCACTAGCAACCCCCGGTGCCGCACAGCCTCGGCAGTCACCGGTGTACTGCCAGGAAGGTGCGGGTACCCACTGGCACCAGCTAAGGCAGGGCCCTTGAGAAGTCGCAGAAGCAATGGCAGGCCCGTGTCCGCAGCCTCTCACATATTGCAAGCTCCCCGGTGGGATGCTACGGCACCACACAGGGGCTGCCATCTTGACCTTCAGCCCGAATCTTGGCTCGATCTCAGCCGCTGCGGTCTCAGGGCTACTCACGTTGCAGGTAAGGCAATCGGGGACTTCTTTCCACGATGGCCCTGGCACCCAGGGACACCACTCGGCGCAGCCCTTCTTGATTTGTGGTTGACTTGCAGTCGTGTTGCTGCAGTTGCTGACATACTTCAAGGCATTTGGCGGGACCCAAGCACACCACTCGGAGGCAGGGACATCTGGAACTGCCACGGCCGAAGTTGCCAAAAGGAGGCAAGCTGCACGGAAAGCCATTCTCCAGGGCAGCGCGTCTAAGACAAAAGCTTGTTGGTGATCCTCTGAACCACGGAACTGCGTGGCCACCGCGACTTCCACAGCGTCTCTAGACCCCAAACTTGCATCCTACAGCCCGAACCCTGAAACCTGCGAGGCGAGCAGTAAAGCCTGGTTGGGTCCCTGCAGCCTGCGCCCTTAGCCTTGGACCACGTAGGCTTGGGGCCTTTGGGTCTCATGGCATCGGGACTGTGCTTGCTGGCAGCTCCGCGCACTTTTGCGCCAGCACGTCGATGTTTGCGGACGGCTTAAAGTCAAGATGCTCTGCCCGAAGCAGGGGCCTCCACCGGTGTCTAAGAGCCTAGGGTTCGCCGGCCAACTGTCTAACATGCAGCCTAAACTCGACCGTGGCACGAAGGCTGTGGCAAAGCCATAGGCCACAACATAATTAAACAACGGCGAATCTCAATAAGCCTTCATAACAGCTCCATCAACGCATCTTGAACGTTCTACGCTATGAGAACAGACACATGAAAATTGACAGGGCTGTCCTACGTTAGATCCGAAATCCCATACCATCCCAAACCCGGAGCCGACAAAAACGTATTTGATAAACACACACACAAACTCACTGAACAAAAACAGGTGAGGCCGAAATCGCGACACTCGGGTTGGAAGGTCTTGTCTTGCCAGACTCGTACAGGAATCACGAACACATCATGATGATTACAGTGTTGATTCCAACCTGTATTAGCCCCTGTCAGCAAAGGCCTTGGGCCAAAGCCGGGCAGAAATGAGCCAAGGGGTCCCCTCATGGAGGAAGCGGCGCAAAAACCGCCCTTTCGAGATAAGGCTTCAGATTCAGGTTAGTGGGATCCCTCGGAGGCATCTTGGGAAAAATTCCGCAGTCTAAACGCCTTTAAAACTCATCCCTACACGCCAGGATTCAATGCAAAAGGCTCCAGGGTCCTTTCTCCTGGTCCTTCTCAACGACCGCAGCAGCAACGTTCACCTTGCCATCCTCGAGGCCCACGGCGTTGCCGTTGCTCTGAGAGCCGTCGGCGGACTCGGAGTTGCGACTCCTTTCACGGGACGACGGGGACTGAGGATGGCTCAGGATGGCTCAGGGCCCAGGTTTGCGGATAAAGGTCGTTGCTGAGCGTCACACGCTTGAACTTTGAAGCTGCCACTACTAGGATCCTCCTCCTCCTCCTACTGATGCTGATGCTCATGCTATACTGCCAGTGAAAACACTGTTCATGCTAGTGCTCATGCTCTCTACGACCACGACCACGACTTCGACTCGGGAATCTGCGTTTCAAGTGTAACACGCCATGGCTTTAAAAAGAACCGTTGGCCCGAACCAGTGCTTCAAGCTTAATATGGTTCGGCAGTTCGGCTTTCCAAAAAACCATTGGCCTCAAAATGGGCTTCTGGGTTAACGCTTTTGGCCCGAATTTGGGTTTCAATGGGAACGCTCTTCGCCTCTCCAGTACTTTTGGCCCGAATCTAAGTTTCAAGTTTTACACGCTTCGGCTCTCCCAAAGCTTCTGATCCCAATCTGGATTTCAAGCTTAATCACCCGAAAACCGTTCGCCCCACTCCGAGCTTCAACTTTCACACGCTTCGGCTCTCCGAAAACCGTTGGCCCGAATCTGGCTTTCAGTTCTGGCATGCCTTCGGCTTTCCTGATTTTTTTACCCGAACCTGGGCTTCGAGTTTAAGTTTAACATGTCCCGGCAGTCGGCCCGAATCTGGAAGTCAAGTTTAACATGCTTTGGCTCTGCCAAAACCCTTTGGCCCGAACCTGGGCTTCAGTTTCAGGCACACCCTCCGAAAGCCCTTGGCCCGAATCTGGATTTTAAGTAAAATGTGCTTCGGCTCTCCGAAACCCTGAGGTCCGAATCTGTCGAGTTTTGCCTACGATGGTGTAGGATCGCGTCTGGGTGTACGAAGATTTCGGGTTCCAAGGGTCGGAAGAGTCCGGGATTTGGGGTGGGCGCGAACCGAATACGTCTCCAATCCTGCCCCCCAAACCCCGAATCCTTAACCCTTGAACTCATGAACCCTGAAGCCAATAACTCCCCCCTAGACAACCCCCGGGTCTTCAACTTGGCCAGCTTGGTACGCATGCTCTCTTCGAGCCGCTCCAATTCGAGGAGGTTGGCCTGGCTTGGGAATTTCGTGGCGGAAATGTTCTTAAGGTCTAGGCTTTATAGGGGTTTAGGGGCTGCAGACCATGCCACCTTCCCAAACCCTCGAAAACCTTCTGAACCTGTCAGAATGCATGGCTGGCGTTTCCGTTTCAAAAATCTTGACGTTTGTATCTCGACTAAACGCACTGTATCCAAAAAGCGGTCCCTGTAACCAATTTTGGAATGCAGAGTGGATCCAATCGAGGGGCTTGGCATAGCACCACATTGCGACTCACCCCACGAATCCAGCTATCTTGTTCTTCGCACCGATTTTGGCCATTCCTTTCCTGTCTGGCCCACTGATCCATTCCCTATAATGGCTAGAGTCAAATCCAGCCCCTCCAAGCTTTGGCTGATCGCAACATTCATGAGTTTGACTGTATCTACAAAAGTGATCTCACCACTGGCGTTCTGGCAGCTCGTGTGTCCCTGTTTCGTCCTCTTCAAGACACTTGGGGGTTTCCGACAATAGGGGACCCTCATATAGTACCCTGAATAGAAATTCAGAAAGATCCTTATTATAAGGACCCCCAAATAAGGTACCCCGAATTTTCGGAAACTCCCACTTAGCACTTCGCTATAGTCTGCACCTGGAGCTGCTCTCTCTGCCCTCATCTTGCTGGTCTTCTCGTTGTATGCCTTTTCCTTCTCTGCCCTTTTTATGTCGCCTGCATTGGATGGCTTCTCTTTGGAGTGGCTGTTGCGGGCAGATCTTGGAGCAGGCTTGGGATTGGGCTTTGACTCTTTGTCCATCTTGTCCGCCTTCCTTTCATCTGAGTCTTTCTTAGCCCTCAAATTCTCCTTGAGCTTGTTGTTTTGTTCTGCCATCATCTTGGTTCTGTCCTCCAGCAACCTCACTTTTCTTCATTGAGGGCTCTCCCTTTATATACTGCAACGTGTGCAGGACGCCCACCTCGAAATGACAGCTCCCATTCAAGCTATCCACCGAATTGCGAGTGTATGATTGCGCACAGTCGGGAAGGGGTTTAGGGTTTAGGGGTTCAGGGCTTAGGGTTTATTCAGGGCATAGAATCTGGTTCTGGAGGGGCTGGCTTTTGCTGGTTGAGGGCTTTGTGGGCTCTGGTTGCGCATTTTGTGCCTCGGCGCTTCAAGGTTTTTAGTTTCAATAGAAGCGGGGTGTTTGTTTGGAGATGTTTTTTAGACTGCACCCAGAAAAGACTCCTGAAGAACTGCCCTGATCCACCTTCAAAGTCTTACATGGGCATTCCAACCTCAACGAAGGCTTTCGAAGCAGCTCGCCGCATATGTAGCCAGGTAACCCTGCATCCAACCTGTCTCACATTCCTGACAAGCCTATCAACCCCGAAACATTGAGCCTTAGTTAAACCCTAAAGCCCAAATCCTTAAACCTGACAACCACAACATTTTTATCTTAAGCCGCTGGACCCCACATGTAATGAAGAATGCAGATGCACAGAGCCTCCATCTGTCCCTCGAAGATAGATGAATCCAAGCAAATCTCCAACCTTCGGCTTCAAGGTTTCCGCGCTTCTAGGGCTCAACACAGGGCTTCGGGGTTGGGTTTCAAGAGTTGGGGGTTTCCGAAAATTAAGGGTGCCCTATTTTGGGGTCCTTATAATAAGGATCCTACTACTTAGGGTACTATATTAGGGTCCCCTGTTTTCGGAAACTCCCACTTAGGATCCTGGGGTTCGTTGGTTTCGGGCTACAAGGTTACAAGATGTGTCACTCTTCTGGCTGTCGGGATTGAATGTTGGAGCTTCTTCGTTGCTGAGCAATTGGAGCTCAAAGAAGTTGCAGGTCCCCCAAACCCTAAACCCTAAACCCTAGACCCTAAACCCTAAACAGGAGCTGGTATAAACAAGCGTGTAGGAGCTCGGACTTGCTCACGTAGGGTTGAGGACTGCAGGCTGCGAGGCCTGGTGGGGCCCAGCGGATGCAAAGCGATGCGTCAACGCTCCAAACCTTCAGGCTCCAAGTTTCGAACCATGAGTTCTAAACCCTCAACTAGGAATGTCCCCAGAAGTGCAGTCGCTGAACTCAAACCCCATGGCACCACAAGCCTTTACAGTACTTGACACATTCAGGATCTGTGTTTGCTCTTCAAACCGAAGGCCCTTTCGGATTTAGCTCCCGCTGCGTCTTCAAAGCTGTAGACGACTACACTGTAGATTTTGGGTTTAGCTTGGGTGTAGCTGCTGCAGACAGCAGTACAAAGCATAATCGGTAAAAGTGGGTGGCAATCGTCCCTCCATGAACTTCAACAGCACATGACAGCTCTACACTCTGAAGTCAAAAGGTCCGACCAAAACTGTAAAAACCAAACCTATTCGGCACTAAACCGGCCTACTAACGAAACTCCCAAACCGCAGACCCTTCTCACACATATCACAAAACTCGCAAATCCCTAACTGAGGCCCTGAATCTGACTATCAAACCTCTACAGGGAACTCCAGAAAGTTGGAATATGGCTTCATGGTAGGATACCCTATAATGTACCATAGAAGGGTTAGGATAATCATATTCCAACTTTCTGGCTTTTACCTCTTTAGCTACTGCGCACACCTGGTCGAAACCTCAACTTCTAAGCGGCTTGGTCTCCTGAACATCCCAACAGCAACAGCGTGCGGGACGTTGGTCCACGGGCCAAGCCGGGAGTGTTAAAAGCGCATCATACTGCGGCTTATAATCGTGTTTTGAGGCGGACAAACCGCACATTCCACGATCCACGACGTTTTGAGCACCCTTCTCCCTCTATGCTTCTGCAGGCCTTCATCGCCCACTCTTGCCCATATTCCTTCTGCTAATTGCCCTTACTAGTCTGCAACCTCAACCAAACTTCCTGCATCTGCCTCCTGCAACCGTGATCTCTATACCGAAGCCGCCCCAAACCCAAATTCCTGTGCTACCCGGAGCCTGCGACCATAAACATAAACTGTCTCGACAAGGGGCTTGTGAAATGCGTGCTTGGCTTGGGCATCCATCAACTCTTCCTGCAGGTTGGGATTTGGGGTTTGACGGCCTTGTACAGGGCTTGGTAGGTTGGCAATCGACATCATACGGGTTTCGTGCCCCTCACTGCACACAAATCAATTCAGGGTTTGGGGTGTCTAGGCCTCGTAGGTGAGTGGGGCTGGGCGTTCGGTCAGTATCTTGGCGATCATGCGTGTATACATACATTACATGCAACATAGTTAGCCGTATGCATGAGGTATATGGAAAGATAGATCGATCGATCTATTACCTGAGCCCGACATCCTCTTATCCCTGTGGCTTCTTCATGTGAAAACAAAATGGGGTTTTCTGGGCAGTTGGGTTCAAGGACTCGAGACTCGGTTAGAGTAAGGCCGATAGACCACAAGCAGTTCATGGATGTTGGCCCAGGTTAGGGTTTAGGGTTTGTAAAGGGGGATGGAGAATCAGGCCGAGCTGCTATCGCGAGTCCAGTCACCGATCTGTTATACTGCAGCAGTCCCTTCTTCTTCTTCCTGTGGCTGCTCCCAAGAAAGCTCAAGGGAGTTTTGGAAGACTTGTACAGTCTGTAGGGTTCAGGTATGAGGGTGTGGGGGGAACGGGTAAAGGTCTTATGATCGTTGTAGGATCCCGTTGTAAGTCTTCGGGACTCTTTGACCCTTTTGAAATTGATGTCGGGTTCTGGGATGAGGGAGGGAAGTCAGCAGGATTGATGTGATTTCTGGAGCACCGGTATATGGTTACAGACTTCTTGCAGGAGTTCCGCGACGCGAAAACCCAAAACCTAAAGTCTGCATCATAGCTGAACCTCCTAATGACGCAAACCAAAGCGACGAAGTCCGAAAGACTGCAACGATGGAGGGTAGTGGATGTGGCTCAGGAAAATACTGGAACAACCCCAGGAAATCATGGTACATCTGCTACACAGCGCCCAACACAAGCTTGAACCCAAAGAAGTCTGAGCCACGAAGAAATGTGGGAAACTTCGACTTCGCACTGTGTCAGACTGCAGTGAGCGAGCCTGGTAGGATTCAGAGTCTGCGGCTTAAAGGCTTGGGAAGCAGGGTGTGCTGGGTTTTGCAATTTGGGAGTTGGAGTAGTCCAGAGTCCTTAGCCCGACCGGAGGAAACAAGCTTGAACGCGTGACGCCCTTAAACGGCCAAGCGTCATGGATCGGAGTTCATCCAACATCACCTGGATCAGGTCCTAAATCCCTAGTGCTCTAACCTAATGCCTAACACAAACCGTTACGTCATGCAGCCTAAATATAGACTCGAAACTTTAAGATCTCGGTGTTGGGGATTTTGAGCTTGTGACGAGTTCAGGTTTCTAGTGGCTTCTAGGTTCTAGATCCTGCGACGCCTAAACACTAAAGCCGAGATCATTGCTTTTCTTGGGGGGTGTTCTGCGCACAAACAAGGAAGACACCGCAAAACTTGCTGCCCAAGGACAACTGGAAGGATGTACATCCTCCAAGCCGGAAGCACGAAGCTCAAGAGAATCCTTGGCTTGGAGATTTGGAGCTCCGAAACCCTCGACCCGAAACAGAAACCCTGAACCCAGATTTAACCCACCCACAGACGTGAAGCAGCCCCAGTTCTGAAAAAAACCGAGGAGTGGCATGCCTTCCTTTCGGGTTAGAGGCTAAGATGCTGGGCTCGCGTTGGAGCCCAAAGTGAGCATCAGCCGCTGTAGGGCTTTAAGGCTCCAGGGCCATGGACTGTCAGGGCCTGGATCCCAGCAAAGGGGCATCACTGAGGACCCTCATAGCGAGCCCTGCTGTTAATCATGAATCACCCCTCATCCCAAATCCCCAAACCTACGGGGCTGCTCTTGGGCATAGTAGGCAACACTTTGGGCTCTGGCTTAGAATCTAGAGTCGTTGGGATTCGCGCAGGAGGTTCGGGCTTTGGGTTTCTGCAAGTCTGCAAAGCCGAAGATTCAAAGGTGCAGGAATCCCGAACAGGGAAGGGTGCCGATGGTGGGAAGGCTCTGTTTCTCCCGTATTTCCTATGATCCTCCTCCCCTCAGATCAAACCGACCCTACACATCCCTACACGAACAAGTTATTCAGGGATCGGGATTAGTCGGGTTTATTTGGTCCGAGAGGCAGTGTCATCAAGAGGTTCTCGAGTGGCGGCGAGAACAAGTGGATCTGAGTTGGCAGCCCACCGGTGTGGTTGAGGTTTTGGGCTCTTGCCTACAATGTTGCGTGTTCTGTTTAGCTTCTGGTTCATCACCAAATACGTAACCCTGTAATTCAAAACCGAACACACCCTGAATCCCGAACCCCGGAGAGTTCGGTTGAGGGTTCACTCCTTGAGAACTTGGGGCCATGAGAGCTTCGAGGGGCATCCTGCACCAGGGTGGTGCCCGCCGCGGCAAAGGCACCCTTCCAGCCGAATCCGATGAAAACGGAGATCGGAGCTACCTGCGAAGACCGGCTGCGGGTCTGTGAGCTCGGGGTTTAGGGTTTAGGGTCGGGGGCTTTCGAATCTTTGTTCTGTTTTGACCCCTTTTTCGACAGGAGCACCAGCTCTGCTCCCAGAAGACACCCCAGGCAAATGACCCTTATCAGTCATTACCCAGAGCATCAAACCTACTTCACAACTACTCAGAAAGAGGCTCGCAGGGTTTAGGGTTTAGGGAGGGGTCTTCGGGGTCGGAGTTTTGAGTCCGGGTCGGGGTTTTAGCGTCTTCGGGGCATCGAGGCTTCTGGGACCGAAGCCCGGAGTCTAAGTTAAAAACACAGGGCTTCTCGGGATTTGATCGCCGGGGAGGCCCGGAAAAATGGTATCCATTGTAGTTCTTTGTCTTGGCTAACCAATTTTATGGCTAGGATCCCAGAGTATAGATTTTGAGTTAAACTCTACTTGGGTTCCTTGTGGTCTTGCGGCATGCCGCCGCTCCCCCGAGCACCTCATGAGCTCTTGAAATGGCATACAGGGTTCGAGCCTCCAAGTCCAGTTGATAAGGAGCGAAGCAAAACAAACTAGACTTCCGAGGCCGTGACTAGCACCCTCGCAGAACCATTGTGGAACCCTTGTGAACCCCTCATAGAACCAGTACATGTATGAAGCATAAACCGTGTGCTTTTTGGTTCTTTAGAAAGAGCACTTGCAGGCTTCCCCATGCTTTCGAGGCCCTGCGCCTGACTGAAAATCTGAAGACCCGAAACGTCTGTGCAAGCCCGTACGAACCAAGCCCTAAATATCCCCCCAATATACATTCAACCCCCACGCCCTACACCCGGAGCCTGGGACCCTACACCCGAAGAAAACAAGGAAAGCGAAAGCCCTGGGCAGCCCACCATCTGCCGCAGAGCCCGGTCGAAGCGCTCTCCCGTGCACTCCAGGTCCGCCAGGTAGTCCAGCAACAGCAAGGCGATCTCGGTTGAAGTGGTGGCTGAGGACAGTATGATTTAGGCCGACGATGCCCTGAGATGATGTCTTCTATGAACCCATCCTTTGAATCGGCTCCGCGTGGTAGGTGATTGCTGAAATTTCCGTCTAGCCAGGCTTTAGAAAAATCGTGTGGTTAGATCCATACGTTCCTGCGCCAACTCCTCTTTCTGCGGCCCAAGTGTCGAAGGCGCACCACGTCACCCCTGCACAGGCTTAGACTCCGGACTTGCTTGATCGCATGTAACCTTTGGGGGTTGGGGTCAGGGCTTTCATTGTTGAGGGTTGGCTTCTTGGGTCTATGATGTGGAATGGTTTGGAGCTAGCTGAGGGATTGGAGGGTTGATGGAACTCGAAAGGGCTTTCATGCTTGGCGACAAAGTTATCAGGGGCCAGAGGCATCAGGCTAATTTCTCGACAGGAGTGTCGAATGTCCAGGCTTCAGCCTTAGCAGCCCAAAGGCCCAAAGACCGAATTCCAAAAACCTCAGAACCTGAAACCTGTAAACCCGCACCCTTGAAACACACCCGGAACTCCCTAAGCCCAAAGCCCTGAAACCTGAGACGCATCAACCCGGAGCCCTAGAACCCTAAGCACCCCGCCCCCCCCCCTCCCCCCCTCGTTCAAACAGAAACCAACTGAAGTGCGGGAAGTGCTCTTCCCATCGGCCTAGGGCCACCACGAGGCTCTGGGCAGGCCCAGACAGCTCCAGCATCTGGGACAGAGGTGCACAGGTAAGGTTCCTATAATAAACCTTAAAGCCTCGTGCAGATGTGGGATTCAGATTTGGGGTTCGAGGGTCTCGGTGGGTTTTAGGGTTCAGGGCTTTGGCTTTAAGAGCCTCAAGTGTCTATGACGGTATAGTAATACAGGACTTTGTAAAGAGGGTGTGGGGTGTTTTGGTTGCCTCTTTCCGGTGCATTTATCTTAGGATAGGCTTTCAGGGTATACAGAAGTATAGTTAAACAATGTCTTAATTAATGGAGTATTGCTACTGACTATACCGGCCTCTACGTTAGGATCACTGCTTGGTTTCGCCGATGGTTGAGTTTGGGGTCCATTTGTTGCTCTGGGGGAGCTGACCGCTTGGGGTGTGGGTGCAGGGTTGACCTGGTTTGGCTGGGGGTATGGCGGTGCAGAGTTTGAGGGTCTTTGAGTCTTCAGTTCACGGTGCAGGTCGATCTTGCTGTTCGTAGCGCTTCGCAGGGACCTGAAAGGTGCTCAATCAGTCTCGCTCTGCATTAGGACATTAGTATATGGGACTCCGTTTCAGGTACCAAGGGTTGTTGTAATAGGTAGCGCAACCCTTGTTTCAGAGGGTCCGCACCAGCCTCCTTTGCGTACCAGGTGGTACTGTAGAAGAGAGAGAAGGCCGTGCAGTTGGCCAGTATCCTTGAGGCTCTTTCCAACTGCAGGGTTCAGGGATCGGACATTCGGATGCAGGGGTTTCGGCGGTTTATAGCACAGTCTTGCGAGGCTGGCAAACATCCCCCAGAAGTAGAGGCTGTGAGTGGCCTTATGGTTGAGAGTCACCATCACGACGGTTGAACTGTCCAAGGTAAGGACCCTACACCCCGAGCCCAAATCCGACACGAGTCGAAAACACAACTCCAACCTACAGAGTTTGAGTTTGACGAGTTGGAAGACTGTTCAAAGTCCACACAAAAAGCCTAGCCAACCATTGAGCGCCAATCCCTGAACCCTAAAACCTGAGACCACCCAACAAGTGCCGCCAAGACTGCTGAATCTATGAAAGTCTCCAGCTGGGTGTACCCTAACCAAGTTCTGCGAATCCGAAACCATCACATACCCTAGACCCAAATCACCTTACTAAACCACGAAACCCTAAACTCTTCAACCCCTAAACTTCCACCGAGATCACAAGTTTGGGTCCGAGATTTTGGATTCTGACCTCCGAAAAATGCTAAAGGAGCGCCTATATACATCCAATGCGACAGAGTCATCATAGAATGCCTGACAACCTTTTTGGGCGCACCGGTTGTGACGCACCGAAACTGCCACAAATTGTCGTGGTGTCACGAAAATCTTGCGGTACTAAACGCCCTTGGGTGCACCAGCTGGGGCGCAACGAGACTGGCACCAGAATCTTCAGCGTGGTGCTCAACCCCCTTTAGGTACACAAGCTTGGATGCGACGAAATTGTCACGAAAATCTTGCGGCACGAAACCGGCGCAACGAAGCTGTCACAGATTGTCTTGTGGTGTCACGAAAACCTGTTGGCGCTCGAAGCTGTCACGAAAATCTTGTGGTGGTAAACCCCCACCAGCTTGGACGCAACGAAAGTGTCACGAACATCTTGTTGGGGGTGCACCGGCTTGGACGCAACGAAACTGTCACGAACATCTTGTGGTGCCAAGCCCTTTTGGTAGCATCAATTTGCAGTTCGGACGCGTCGTGTCTTGTGTCATTGTAAAGATTGCCAACCATGCAGGCTTTTATTTTATATAACATCAAAACAACCTGAAGCCCCCACTCGGATTTTGGGCCAATGCCTGGCTTCATGCGACCCAGTCGCTGCCCGCCACCTGGGGCTTTACAGTGCATTTAAGATGTGTGTGAGAAGGATCCCTGATCCTAATTCCGACTGTTAATGCTTGTACTTGCTGGAGTAAACACAACAACACCTGTCTACGGACATGTGTGTGTGTGTGCGCGCGTGCTACAGTGTGTGTGTGTGTGTGTATGTATATATATATATATATACATACAAGCTATGTATACGCATACATTCACATTATATAAACAGTGACCGTGGCAGCAGCACCGGGCTGTGCAAGCACTGAGCAGTGGCATTCCGCAGTCAACTGGGGCATGCTGTGCCAACTCCCTCGACCCTACACCAGCAATCGGAACTTCCTATACCCTGTTTGTCTGTCTGCCTGCCTGCCTGTCTGCCTGTCTCTCTGTCTGTCGCTTTGTCTCCGTCTGTCTGCCGTCCGTCTGTCTGTCTGCATGTATACCTATATGTAGAAAAATGTATGCTTGCATAAACCGCTCCGCTACAGTACAGAGATATCAAAAATCATGGGTCAGCTTTCTTTAACGTGCATGCATACGCACGTACGCACATGTATCTGTATATATATATATATATTACCCCCCAAAGACCAAGGTTTTCAAAGACGAACATTGGTGGATGTGTGCCGTCTCTGGGTCCGGATTGAGTGCAGAGGCATTGATTGCAGTATCGCGGCGAAGGTGATGAAAGAACATTCCGACTTGCAGTGCAGAACACTATGCAGCCGGCTTTTTGGTCTTGACTCAAGATCACCTCGGTTCTTCTGATAAACAGGCAAGTTTCAGAAGGCGACTCCGCGGGAGACCGAGTCAAATCAGGTTGGGAGAGTGGGCCACATCAGCTGTCTGCCGTTTTGGATCACACTGGAGGCAAGATGACAACCATCAGCAAGCCTAGAATTGCACATGTGCAGTCAAGCCTGCCAAACTCAACACATGAATCACACTGGTCGCAAGAGCGAGGCTTTTCCGGTAGGCGCGCACCGATGGCTGTGGGCTCACAAAACTCCGACCGGCCTGTGTCGGCACGTGATTCACACCAGCTTCTGCATTGCCCACGAGCATAGCTTCCCAGTCTCGACCCAAAGGTCCTCACTCCGCTTCCAGTAAAGGTCCTGGGTATTGCGGACCTTCACCCTCATGAGGCTACTGCCGGTAGTGCAATGCCGCTTGAGGGAAATGCGATCCTTCATGTAGCGCCATGCTCTATCAATAATTTGGCTGCCTGCCTTGGTCTTCAAACGCTTCGTGCGACCTGGAACTTTATGAGTCGTAACCCTGACATATGTTGGGGCCTTCCACACAAACTTGCCTCCAACCTTGACACGCTTCTTGGCGTGAACAACATTGTCATGAACCACCCCATCGACACGGATCTTATTGCTTCTAGCCGAGTCAGTGTGGAAAATGACAGAGCGGCCCGGCACCCATTCCGTCTTTCGCACAGCACCCGGGCCTGGTGCTCGCCGCACTGTTTTGGGAGGATTCAGCCGCTGAAGGACGAGGCTTTCTGGACGACCGCGCTCCACGAGACCAAGCCACTGCTCCCACTGCATAGCCTTAGTTGGATCTGCATCACCGGTACGGGACTTGTTGAAGGTGGCCTCGTCACCTTCCACGTCGACCCAGGAAATACCATCGCCCAGTTTCATGGTCTTTTGCCGCTCCTCTACGAAATCCTTGCGCAGTGTCATGAGACTCTTGTCCATGTCCTCTATGGCCTTGTGGTTGATGCCCAGAAGCTTGTGTGCCTGCGCATTGGATGCTTGATGCCTGGACCTGCAGACTGTGGCCTTCGGGACCACGGCATTCCTTGAAGAATGGGTGGAGGTAGTGCGGGTTCGTGTACTGGAGGCACTTGTAAGTGGCTCCACCTGTACTTCACGGGGCAGGCAAGACCAGCAGGTTTGGAGATGGGGCCTGAAAGGGTACCACGCTCACACCGAGGGCATGCGCGACCTTTCCAATCCAACAAGATTTTATCCTTTGTGAGCATCTCGACAATGGCTGAGTTACTCGCACTGAGAAGTTCTGGTATAGTTCGACGCCAGTGTGTTTGCTCATGACGAAGACCACGAGCACCAACTGGAGCAGGAACCCGAACATACGCGACGGACTTGTATTCCTGGGACTTGGTAGAAGCTGGGCGTTTGAGCGCACTGCGGAATTTCCCCTTCTTCGGAACAAAGGAGCTCGGCTTCTTCTGCATCTTGGGAGCCATGTATGCAACAACTTCTATACATACCAAAACCACGGTCAACACCGTGCAGCCGAAATGGTACTGCGGCAAGTCAAGCTGCAAGGTCTAGGATGAACACAAAGCAGACTGCTGAGAGCCACTGGTCAAAGTCCTAGCTCTGTCCCAGCACGGCTTTTTTTCTTGGACGCAAGACAGCACACAATCCAAGGGTAGAAACCCTCCAACATGATGTGGCTGATACCCGACCTTGTGGCATCTCAGACTAAGCCACGCAGGAAGCGCGCTGCATCCTCGTCCCCGTAATGGCTAGTGTAAGTAGGCTTCTCTGTAATGTTCATCTAGAAACCTTGGTCTTCGGGGGGGGGTACCATATATATATATATATATATAGTATACACACATACACACATACATATATACACATATACACACACACACACACGCGCACGCGCACGCGCACACCCGCGCGCACGCACACACAACTTTCCTGAGAAATACAGAGTGTGTGTTTGCAGCGAGAATGAGAGTGAGTGAGTGAATTGAAAGCGAAAGTCAAACTGAAAGTGAAAGTGAAAGTGCGCTCTCTGTGCTTGTGTATGTGCTATCATTGACCTAGGATGACACGCAGGAACGGGGCTCCCTCCCCACTGTCCACACGCATGCGGCCAAGCAGCGCCGCTGCACCATCTTACCGAAGTCGGTCTGCGGCTTCCAGAACTGGATCCCAATGATCAACGAGATGTAGATGAAGCTGGAACCTGCACCGAAAAGAATCTGGCAAAACCGAACCGGGCTTTATCTGTTTCACATATTGTCGATATACACACGCGCACACACACACACACACACTCACACACTCACACACACACACACACACACACACACACACCCGCGCGCGCTGACGCACGCATCCTGCACCTTCCAGCCGAACGAGCACTATAGGACCCCAAATTCGACATCCGAAATGCCCGAAACCTCGAGCCTTAGCATGGGAGGGGATGGAGGATTCCGGGGGCCCAATCTCGAACTCCGACTCTGGGCTCAGCCGCAAACCCAACAGTGCAAAACCGGAAGGCCTCGACCGTGGTTTACGGCCTTAGGACTAGATTCATGAACCTCAACACAAAAACACAAAACATTGCAAGATAGTATGATGCAGTGCTGTAACGTATGTGATAGTATGTGATATTGTAGCAGAGTAGCAGGAAGGTATCATGAAGCAGCACAAACACTAAAAGAAGATACAAAACAAACTACACAAGGCAACCTATGACAACACCACGTGATGCCTCATCAAGAACCGAATCTCTATGACGAACGAATCTGGCTGGGCACATCGTGGCACTGCTATTCTGAAAACAGCATTGGTGCAAGCAGGAAATCTGCGACTTCTTGCCTTGTGCTACTGGCTGCTATGATTGTCATGATGGCGACCCATAGTGCTTGACAAATCCCGGCCAATGTTACTACGTTTACGGTGGGCGCCACCACGTCCAGTATTCGCAACGACCCATATCTAATGCTGCTATGACTAACAGTGACTAACGTAAACTTCTGGACCTAAGCCCTCACTGCTAACGGAGCGGAAACCCTAGACATACACCGAGTCGGAAGACGGTAGCCGTAAATCCTGAATCCCACACCCACCCCCAAACTCAGAAACCCTGAAAGCCTGAACCCCAACACTTCAAGCTCTGAACCCTGAACCGTGCATCTCTTAGCGGGAAGTCCTGATAAGCCACCACAAATCTTGCCCTGAGTCCCTGTTTTCAGACCCGATACCCACTACCCCAAAACCCTGTCTGGCTACCTCAACCCTGGTGGGCTTCTTCCCCCCCATCCCGCCAGTTCCCGCCTGTCAACGTCCACACGTCCACATCTTCGATCTCCGTGCCGGGCCGTACCTGATGGATTTCAGGGGTTCAGGGTGTAGGGCTCGGGCGTCGAAAACCTCGGCATGGGACGCCAACCCACATCAAGAAACGTCGGCACTCTTGTGCAAATCAACAAGAACTCCTGCAGTATTCTGGTCGATTCTCTTCGAGAGTCTCCTCTATCCGGTGACTCTATTCCGCTCTGGCAACTCTGGTAGAGTCTGGTAGAGGGCGTAAACACCCACTTGTTCGTCCCCACCTCACCCGTCGGGAGCGGCAAGGTGCCCGTCAATAGGTAGCGTGACCTTGGGGTGTTGCACACGGCGGAGTTTGGGGCTCAGCTGGGCGATTGCTTCAGTGGGAGGTAACGGGATACCTGCGGTGCCACGTTTGTCGAAGAGCTCTCCAGTCTGGTTTGGGCAGAGGCTCCTGTTGAGCTCAAAATGCATGCTCAGCAGGAGCTTGCCCAGCTGTGCACAGCAAGGCAAGTCCATGCACGTGCAGCAGACATTATCCAACCCGGTGATTACCACCTGAAAGTTTCACACGCACATGACATCGATGTGGGTCTTGGGGTGCACGACACCGTCGTCTCGTGCAAGCCACGTCGAGACGTCCAAGGGACAGTAAGGGTAACCCTTCCTCTCCAGCCAGGCCACCTCCGCCTTCTGCGAAGTGCCGAGACCCTCAGACGCCTCCAAGAACTCACGATCCTCTGCTGGAAGTGAAGCCCAGAAAAGCCGCTGAAGCTCCCGGCTGTACTGAGAGGACCCATCGCCCCGTGGCTCGACTTGCAATAAATCAAGTCCTGACTGAAACGCTTTCTGGAATTTCAGGGAGCCTTCGAAGTCTTTGCGCTTGGAGTTCAGCGACTCCCGTCGCAGGTTCTCCGCGCCGGCAGTCTGAAACTCCTGGACCCTCCCTTGGCCCAGGCGGCCTTGGCAGAAATAGACTTGCAACTCAGCGCCGCAATCCACGGCCTCCTCGATGTTTGCCTTCCATCTGCTGAACCATCGGCAACCCCATGGCTTCTCTTCACCATACAGAACCGTGCACCAGCACTTGCCTTCGAGGTGCTCGTGTGGAGGGATGGCATCATGCACGCCGTACTCCTCCGTGCCATCTGGCAGAAAGACCACAGCTGCACTGATTTCACCATCAACGCTTGCGTCGACCAGGGCGTCCCAAGCACCAGCATATTTACCTGGCCATGAGCAAACGCAAGCACGGCCACGGCCTTTCAGCACTGATCCATTGAACTCGATGCTCCTCAATTTTCGCAACAGCTCATGCTCCGCAGACTGCTGGTGTGCACGGGTCAGATACGACATGTTCACTCCAACGACCTCATCTCCGTAGCACATCTTTCGGAGGCAGTTGCAGCCAAAGCAGTATGCGGGCAATGTTATGAGGGAGGTCCACCAGAAGCCATCAAAAGAGTGACGCAAGGTCAAGATGATGAGACCAAGCAGGCCCAACATCCAGCTGAGGACGGTGCAAAATCTTAAACGCCCGCGAGCAAAGCAGATGTCGCTGGGCGAGATCCGCCAGCCATTATCAGCAACAAGCTTGCCTGCATCATATGTGATAAAGCAGCATGACACGAACACTGCACTGCTTAGGAGGGCAGCTACAACGGCAGACCCTGGTGGGACCATGGCGCATGTCACCACAATGGCCACTGCGAGGACAAGTAACAGACAGTGACATCTTGCAGTTCGCGAGTCCTCGTTCCACTTTGCCTTGACAGCTTGCTCCAGCTTGGTCAGTTGGCGAGCTTTTGCTGCCTTCTTTCGTCTTGCCTCTTGCTTGACCTCCAGCATGTCAGCTTCTTGCCGTCGCTTGGCCTCTGTGCTGAATTCCCCGAAGCTCAATGAGGCAGACAGCTGACGAGCCCAAGGGCAGCTGCCCTGCAGCCGGACATCTTCTCGCAGCCGGACCTCTACCAACTCCCCCTCCAGTGGGATGCTCCGTGTTGGGTACAGTATCTGCCAGCCAACATCTGTTTTCACTTCAATGGGGAGAGCCAGGTCGTTCCACACAGAGCATGCGGTAGAGCCATGTTGTGGGTCCGGAGTGGCTCGCCCGGACACGGCACTCATGGGCGCAGCTTATTCAGACATCCCTCAAGTAACATAGGGAGGCCTTAAAAAGCTAGAACAGCACTTCGGGGTATCGTGTTGCCGCAACAGTTTATACGTATACCGAACCTGTACGTCGCAAAGAATGGATATTGTTGCTAAGTACTCATGTGTTCTTTGGCAGGCCATGCCTGGGCATCTCGATCCAAATCAGCGCGGCAGTCCAAAACTCATGACAAGCCCACAACCTTACTCCTCTAAACCCTAAAACCCAAAAGGCCTAAAAGGCCTAAAAGGCCCTAAACCCTCTTGATAACTCAGCGAACCACGCGGGAGCCCTGATCCGCAACACTGCGCTGCAGCCGGATGGCGATTGCACGACGAGATGTCCGACCGTCAGGGCGATCACCTCGGGTTGGAGGGACCTCTTTAGGGGCGTATGGTCTTTGCAGGAATGAGTGTAGGAAGGTCTGGGCGTTGCAGGTTAGGGTGTCAGATCTAATTAATGCTGGCGGTTTTGGGGAAATATAAGGCTTCAAAGCTGCAGATTTGGAGCTTGGGATTTCGGTCTGAGGAACTGGGCTGTGTGGCTTCGGTTCCCAAAATAAAATGCAGCGGTGTACTGAACGTCTGAATGCCAAACCTTCTCGATAGCTCACAACCCGGGAAACCCAGACCGAGACCTCCAAACTGAGCCCTCCAAGGACGAAATCGTTGGAAGTTTCCCGAGTCTGAGGTTGGCACAGATGGTACTTAGGAACCGGAACAGGCAAGTAAAAACCACGAAAGACTGCTGTGCTGACCTACGTTCTATGGCGGCCAGTCGCCACATCCTCGGTCTGGTCCGTGTACTTGTCCCACGCCTCCTCGTAGATATCGACTTCGCCGTCATCCATCCTTTGGGTACGGCCCCCACTCCGTAATAGTTGAATATTATTCATAATATAGATATATTAGGACCTTAACAGTAGCCCTAATATGGACTCTTACTGTATGGGGGCCGTACCTAATCCATCCTCTTGCATGCCATTGTCAACAAATGCCACCCGGACGCCCTAAAAAAGCACACAAGCCTCGACGACAAACAGAACTCAAGCTAGCGCGGCGCTACCACCAAACAACGGAAACTCACACTCTCGTCAGCGGCAAAGAGTTTGGGCGTCGAGAAGCCGAATAGAGTTCTTGTGTTATATTCCCCAAAAGCCTATTCTAATCACCAAGGCCCCTGTATTATGCCTGAACCATGCCTTGCAGGAAAATGAAACCCCCTTTCCTCAAGGCCATAGCTCGGTGTCCTGACTATCATCAGAAGTACGATCGGAGTTAGAACTGCCACCAGACCCTACATATCACTGTTTACGATACACGTTGCATCCTGATACTGTGAGCGGTATGAGAAGAAAACTGATGCAACAACGATGGTCACTCAAACAACGGTGGCATACCAGTTGAAATGAGCTTTCTTCGACACTTGTCCTGGTGCCCATCCTGCGGAACACTACGATCAGCCGCAGCACTCCTGTGGCATTCTCCTTTACCACTGTACTGGTGCAAGTCGGTCGCGACGAACCCAGAACCGCCCAGAACGCAATAAATCCGTAGCCAAGTGCGACTAAAGCCCCAAAGCCCTGAAATCCCTTCCCGACCCTCCCTGGAAGCCCAAGCCCGAAAGGCCAACTGTCTGAACCCCAAATCCCCAAAACAGGAGCCTGGAGAATTAGGAGGGCGGATT